GCATGCATTATCAACGTTGTAAAGACCATATCCGCATCGTAGCGCTTTGTTTTGCTCGTGTCTGGGAAACTATGGACCAGAACGGGTCCTAAGTCTGCACTCTGCTTCGGGTGCGCCCTGTCGGAAAGAACATTTTGCACCTTGTTCCTAAAATTTACAGACCGTAGGTACATACTCGGCAGGTCTTCATGAGTAATTTTCTCTAAGTAAATACAAAGGTATACTTGGGACAGTCTTAAATTCATAATAATAAATTGTGATTACTATTTTTATCGAGGCAAAACTTCGTACCAAGTCGTTTACCTCTGTCTCACCTGTTATCACGTTTATTTTAATCACTAAACAATGTGTTTTGTAAGTTATTTCGATTAAAGGATGAGATATGACAGTAGTAGTAGACAAAATACAGAGTACTTACAGAGCAGTAACACCGTAATCCTCCAGTATCGATACCCATGAATTACATGCATTACTTAATATATAGTAACTGCATAGGGTGGTCTGCGAAGTTTCCGACTTAAAAATATGTGTTACATTTTTTTTTTATTCAATTCTCTACATAGTCTCAATACACTAGTCTCAGCGATGCTCCCATCTTTATAAAACGTGTAAATAGTACTCGACGTTTTTCTCTTCAAAATAATGGTTCACAAAGGCCTCCTCATTTTACGGAAATCTCTGTTCGCTCGCTCATGTCCTGTGCGCTTCTCTGAGCATAGATTTCAGATGTGGTAACAAAAAGAAATTGCTGGGGCTAGATCCGACAAGCAAGGCGGATGGTCAACCGTAATTCCTGGAGTTTTGTCATGGCAACCGCTGAGATGTGAGACGACACGTTATCCTGGGGAAACAGGAATTTTCATGACTAGTCAAGTAATGATGCGAGTATGGTCCTGTACTGGTTTTTCATTTTTAAAAATAATCCATTAAGAGTTAGCTTAATTGATTATCCATGATTATCCCAAAACACATTCACCAAGGTAATGGTGACCCAATTGAAAAAATCGTTTTTGATTTTTTCGAGCCGGTTCGTTCTTTGCCTGTATTTTGTTTCGTGTATCGTTTTCGTATCATCATTTCATAATTATATTCTTTTAATTATATTCCATTAATTATCACATATCAAGAAAAGCAGAAAGCAAATCGCAGTTACCTCGATGTCTATTTTTGACCTGAACTTCGCTATTTTAATATTTCTGGAAATGTGATAGGTAATTTTGAACAATTACATTTATTTTTTGTAAAGTAATTTGCGTTATGCAAAATTTAGAAAAACAATAACAGATACACTATAAAAATATTCCTCCTTTTCCATATTACGGGGATCCTAAAATAGCGGTTATTATGTTAAACAACATATAAGTAGCTTATTGAAATTTTATTTAGTATTAACCCAACATATACGCAAGGACACTCTACATAAAATGCTGACCTTACATTATGATAAAAGTGAGTCCATATCATGTAATTTCACTCATACGTAAAATCAAATTTGTGTGACAACGTGTTAATTTTTTTACAAAAAGATTTTTATGCGAGACTATGTGACATGCATTTACTTTATTGCCGCGAAGCAATACGTGCGGAGTTTATAATTTAATGATGTAATCGCAACCAATACAATTGCATTAGCGGTGCAACATTTACAAAACAATATTGTAATATGATATACGCACCTATCTATCCTTTTCATGGTACACAAAATTTTTATTGCAAGGTTAACTGTATCATAGCTTATTCTTAGATACACAAATAACTATAGTGTGTACATAATAGTGATAATAATAATAATAATAATATTTCACAATTCAGCCGCCCAATATTATTCAACTTCTTAATTTTGTTTGCATACTACTAAGAAATTTTACCGATTCTTAGCTTTATACCAAAACCACGAACTTACCATAAACTAACCAAATTCTAAGCGATTTATTAGAATGAATAGCAATCCAGATATGACGAGAAGCATTTTACCTACATAACCTCATTAAAATTATAATTATAAACGGGAGACAGCTCTTCCCAACGGAATAACGATTTCAATTTAATTAATTTATTTTATGAAAGGAGCCCATTCTCTTAATTCGTATTTAGTTTATTGTATGATGTAACGTATTTATAATTAAATTATTGGAAAACAATTAGGCAAATCACCAAACAATGTATCCACGGTGAATCGGGCATGTGGAAAGAATATCGGATGAAATTATGAGGTAACTGCTATATATATAATGCGAAATGAAGATACAGTACCGGGTAAGGCTTTAACGTTTTTAATGGATAAATAATTTTGAACATCCCGGATTTATTAAGTAATAAACTGTTGTGTGTGGGTTACACAATAAAATTATAACACTATCATCGCCATATTGCTATATGAAAGTTAAGGTTTTTCTTATTCTCAATTCTTCCCACGTTGTACACTAAAGCAGTCGTATGCTACGACTTCTAATGCAAAAGCCCCTATTGAAAATGGTCAAGTCTTTATTGTAGATTGGACAAATTATACTTATACCCAATTTGTACAATCTAAAATAAAAACTTTTATCTCCTCAGGATAGTGTAAACATTCCAAAGGAGATATTTCGTTTATGCATGAGTGGGCTACAACTACATAGGATAAGTATTGGCGTTTCCACTTCAGCTTGGCAAAATTTGCAGATTTATGGGTGCCCATAAGGAGTTAGTTGAGAGATAAAGATACTAATAATATATGTATATGGAAAGACCTAAGTATACGACTTAGGTACTCTATCTAAAAATGGTCCAGCACACGCTGCTGGCATACCTAAGTCGGTATGTACATATTATACATCACGAAGGTATAACGAACAACGATATAATAAATAAATGTGAGCATAAAAATGTTCCCTTTTATATCTAAATATCAATAAAAGCAAGTTTAAGCGCCTGAAATAAAAGAAAACATGAAAAAGTTGATACTTAAGCAATATAACAATTTATTGTCTCATTTCTATAGCAAATAAATCGCAGCTGGCTCACAAAACATTCCGGGCCCAATATCATGTCGATATTGTCGCGAAAATATTTCATTTTGTTTGTTCGGCCCGCGACATCTCCGCGCACCGCCCCGTCCACTAACAGAAAGCGCCCTTAATTCTGCAGAGCTTTATACTTAGGTACATCGATTACATTTTTTTTGTTAAACGAATTGTCTGTGTACCGTAAGTACGAGTAGATTCATAATAATAATTATATATGTAGTTTTATTTCAGGCAACTTAATATTATATCAATATTGACCCATATTATATATACCTTAAAAACTAACATATACATACAAATATGTAGAATATATGTAATGACATAAAAATATATATCAATAATTTCTGTGATATAACACTGTAAATTTATACACTTAAACCTTTCATTGTGACTTGACTCCAACTGTACCCTTAATGTCAGGTTGCTTTTAGTTCTGACGTAGTCGACAATGTTCTGTTCCTTGGTGGCGTAGTGTTGGCAGGTAGCATTAAGGCAAGCCCAGTAGATGCAGTGCAACAATGGTTCTAATTGGCTTTTGTACGACGCACAACAAAAGTCATGACATGGCATCATCATCGCGGTTTCCAGTGTCTGCAATTATAGGGACAATGTTCAGTGCCGTCATTGGTATACGCTTTAATTTAGACATCCTAAATGAATTAGGTACAAATTAGAACTTGATCGTGTAATTTTTAACATGTAGATATCACATATAACAAATAGTTGCAACTACAAAGCTTAATCCCAATCACGAGGCGGCTGCTGATGGCAACAATTACGAACAAAGAATATATCTTTGTTCGTAATTAGATGTATGGTATAACAGAAAAAGTAAAAAAAAATCTATTAAATAATACAGAAATTGACAAAAATAATACGAGTTACATTTGAAACAATTCTTGGCGGGTTTTGGCCGTATCCAAAGTAACGCCATCTATTCAATCCACAAGCACTTATGGAACATCTTAATTACAAATTTGTTTTAGCTCAGGGCATACAGATGGCAGCCTCGACTGCCATCTGTCTACCTACTGCCTATGCAGTAGCTTGAGTTCTGTTTGCTTTTGCTTGCTTTTTATTGAATTTAAATGCCCAACCACAAAAAACGCTTGCCTGAAATGAACTACTAAAGACTACTGTGTGTGTTTCAGATAATTAAAAATATTTTGCTTTATATTTATATCTTTTTTTGACATATCTCATTTAGGTATATTAGTGCACCGTCTACAATCTTTCTCTGCGCCACTCATGGTTGACTAGTAGATAACGCCGCATGGTATTAAGTCCGCCATATGTACACATTGTTTATGTGCAATGTGCATTAAAGTTAAATAAATAAATAAATAAATAATGTGATCATTGCTTTTTCTCACTTTCGTCCTATCATCCCATATTACTTCGGAACGTAGTTGTTGAAAATCGAATTTCAATTATATATATAATATACATATGTTTTGACGGCGAGATAAATTAATAAAACGATAACGATACTACATACTTACTTTGATTGTAATATTTTTTTGAATTTTTTTTTTACAACAAATTAATGTAGGCTGCTAGTACCTAACTGTCAACTTGCAGCATAGTGATTACTTGCTCAGAAATCCTATTTTTCTTTTTTGAAGTACAAAAGGCCAAATGTAAATTAGTCATTGAAATTTCATGACGCCTTATTTAACTTGCTAAACTGAATATTGGAAATAAAAACGATTTCACTAGTTTCTACAATTTATTTATACCTATATCATTGAAGAATTCATTTTTTTTTTATCAACTGTGTTATTATTAACTTAACGTTTAGAATATACGGTTCAACAAAAAAATCACTTTGATTATAGTGTACATTATCCAATTAAATAATATAAATACGGCAAAAGATTTTTTATGTAATAAATAAAAGTGTACTTGCCGGTCTATCAATTTCAGTGTACGACAGAACAAACATAGAAACTGCTATTGCCTCTATATCACCAAGGTTCGATGTCAATCGATGTGTTACTCTATGATTTCCCACAATATCTGTATTGTTTATATTTCTGATTCGTTCAATGTATTTTTAATATTATTAAATCAATTGCTTCTGTTAACTTATTAAAATGTGTTTATTTTTTTACAAGACTTAATATAAAATAATTTCTTTAGTATCTTCAGTGAATATTGAGTGTTCACTGGTAATTCCCTACAATACATTACAATGGAAACTAAAAAAATATCATTTGGTTTTATGAAAACCAAAAAAGCAGAAAAAGTCATTGTTGAAGAGAAGAAAGATTTTATAGAATGTGTAGAAGAGAAATCTATAAAAGTTGTCGGGTATAGTAGTTTTCGTTAACTTTTATTTTTCACTTTATTCGTAAACGAAATCAGCATTTATGATACTTTTGTATACTAAGTATAACATTTGCATTTATAATATTAGTGGCGATTATTATTAATAATTATTATACAATATTCTGTACTAATATGTATATATACATATGTCAATACGATTTCTTATTTTACTAACGTAACTATCGTAATATATTACATTAATTTATTACGATAGTAAAGACGATGAGATTACAGCTTATTTAGGTATGCATCATCTAGCTTTTTTTAAAAACCTGTTTCCTGCAACATCTTTTTTTATATAAAACATATGCTATATCTGTCTTGGTGTTACAATCTATCTACATATCAAATTTAATTAAAACTTCAACAATTTATTACTGAAGAGGTTACACAGTAGATTTTGGAGGAGTTGTGATACATTCTGTAGTTTACATGTACATGTACCTTTTGGCATACACATATTATGACATAGAAAGTATTGCAACCTTTCCAAGGTTGAGAGGCTTCGTTATTATGACTATTATGGCTTTATATAGGTAGTGAAAAGATGATAGCCACAGTATCTCATTTATAACATCAGTATTAATGATGACTATGTGATAGTTATTTACACATTTATTTAGTGGGTATTACAATTTATAATCATTCTACTTCTTTATTTTTCAGAGGTGAAGTCATTCCAGAAAATGTCCAATTAGTGATACCCATGAAGCCAAACACTCTAATAACAGCTGAAAAGTTAAAGAAAATAGCAGAAGAGGTGGAAAGTGCACTCGACGAGCCAGTACAAGAAGATGAACAGAAAAATCCTGTAAATGATAAACCAGAAAATGAAACATTGGACCAGATGGCTGTTAGAGAACTTCTAGAAGATGCTAAAAAAGAAACTAATGTTGAAGGGCCAACATTAACATTGCCATTACCTGCTAAGCCTGTTATTGATGGTGAGAAAGAGGTGAGAGGAATAAATATTGCAGTTTTATTTTCTTATTACTTAGAAGAATAAATAGTCCTCAGAAAGTCCTTAGATTAGAAAAAAATTTGTGTAATTTCAATGTGTATAATGTGTCTTTATAAATTACAATTGTTCATATTGTTTTGTATGACAAGATGAATGATTATTAAGATTAAATAGTATGTATATCATACACATAAATTCTTAATACATTTTAATTTCAATTAATTTAAATTTCAGTGAATAAAAAGAATGCTATTATAGCATCACATATGTTATTCTATTGTCACATACATTGTTATAATGTGGTAAGAGTAGAAATGCAACTACATAAATATTCACTTCCATACATGGAAATTAATTAAAATTGTATTAAATGTATTACAGTCAACATTAGATGACTATGAGAGTGTGCCAATTGAACAATTTGGAATGGCAATGCTTCGTGGAATGGGATGGAAGCCCAACAAAGATCAGTGAGTTAGTTCTTACATTAATTTAAACTAGGCAATTAATATGAAAATTAATTTAATAAAAATATATATATTTTTACTATATAATTATTGTAGAAATTAACATATTTATAAATGAACTAAATAAACTTTTTACAAAAGATAAAATAAAAAAGATTTTTATTAACAGGCCTTTAAAAGTGATCATTATTAAATTAATACTATATCCCTTAATTGTTTTCTGTAAACTGGATTCCTTTATATTTTATTATATAAATCTTTATAAAAAATATATTTCTCAGATCTAAATACAAACAACCTGCACTGCGACCAAAAGGACTAGGTTTGGGAGCTGATAAAGTAATTGCCGATAAACAAAAGAAGAAATCATCCAAAGACAAGGAAGAAGAATTATCTATAGTCAAGAATTCTTATGTGAAAATAACCACTGGAAAATATAGTGGTTATTATGGAAAGGTATCTAAACTTTTTATTAATGATTTGATACTACAAGCTAGTTTTTGTTAGAATTGCTGATGGTAAGTGGTAACTGTCACCTATACACATGAACACCACTACAAATGTCACATTATAAATACTGCATATTCATGGTCATTCTGGAGAACTGGATGTCATGCCTCCATATCCTATAATTTTGCTGCTTTCATTGAAAGCAACCTTAGAAAGCAAGATGCTTCACTGCTGAAATAGGTGAGACTAAAAAGATACAAATTCAAATGATTTCTTATAAATTAATCACCTCTACCTCAATAGTAAAATTAGATTTTTGAGAGAATTTGTAAACATTTAATTGTTGAGACTTCTATTGAGCACATCACTGTATGGGTTTAAATATTTTTTTATGTAGAATTTGTAATACCTGTATACTATTTGATATAATGAATAGGATAAGGTAGAACTTAACAATTGTATTTGTGACTTGTAAATTGGTCTATTAACTATTTTAGTTTTAAGTACATTGTCATATTTACTTATTGAGAACCGTGATGGTCAGCAGTTTAGTAGCCTTACTTCAGGTGATTGTGGGTGTATTTGCATTTATGAGTATAATATTGTTTTGGGTGTTTTCTTTGTATGTATTTACAAAAATATATATAATTTTTATCACTTGTCCAGACTACAACACATGCTTTGCTTTACTTTGGACTAGATGGCATTGTGTGAATTGCCCTGAGATATTATATTATTATTATAAAATTAAAGATATTATCATTATATACATTTTAAATTTCAGGTGGTAAGTTTAGACGAGGATAATGGTCGTGTAATGGTGGACATTCCAATAAAAAAAGAAACCATCAATTTAAGTGAATTCATGCTTCATCCTGTCAATAAATCAGAATTTGATAAGGAATCTAAAGTGATAAGTAAGTTATACATTTTTTAACTCTTTTCCATATATTAGTTAAGTGATTGTTATTCATGAAAACATTTTACAAAGCTACAATAACGAAATCTATATGATTTGTATTTTTTTTTTGTCAATCAGCATAAATGATTTGAATACTGTCCAAGTATTGCAACTTGCATTTTTTAAATATTTTAAAAGTAAAAGTTAGTTGGTTTTTCTCCACAGATACAATCGAGAATCTGTCAAATGACCTCCAGACATGTTTATATATGTGCTCCTCATGCAGAGGGTTGTAACACAAGGTACAACACTTGGACACAAATTCAAAATATATGATCACTTTGTGTAACATCAATGTTATGTTCAATTATATTTTCAGATGCTGATTCATTTGAGGAATACAAGAAAAATGAGAAAGTGTTTGATAAGTCTTCCAAACATGATTCATCAAGAGTCAACGAAAGAGAAGCATCTTCAAGTAAAAAATCTAATGATTTAAATAAAGAATATAATAAAAGAGAGAGTAAAAATAAAGATTACAAGAAATATAGGGATTATGAGAAATCTTCGAATGTTCAAAGTAGAGATAGGTATAGAAGAGATTCGTCGGCTAGTGAAGATAAATATAAACATCGTAAAAAGAAGGATAAAAAGTATAGTAGTACTGATACAGATTCTTTAAGTTCTTTGTCCGATACTGATATGCGGCGAAAAGACAAAAACAATAGAAGACGCTGTAGCTCTGATTCAGACTCCTCTCACAAAAAGGACAAAAGAAAAAAGAAACATGAGGGAAAAAGAGATATTGATAAGAAACGTAAGGGTAAAAAAAAGAAGAGAGATAGAGATCGCTCACCAAACTATAAAAAGTATAGGAAATAAGTACAGGTAAAATAAATCAATATTTTAAATCTGAATTAAGTAATTTTATTTACTTTATATATTAATACTTATTTTTGTGTCCTTTTCATTTTGCATATCAATAATATTCACTTATTTTTATTAAATTACCAGATATAAAATCAGACGATACTTTACTCTAATAATAAATTAATTCAATGCAACACTAAACTAGACTACCACGATCGCGACTTCTGCTGTAAAATAAATATTTTATTTATTTATTTCGTTTTACGGCTTTGTTCAAGTACAAGTTCTTTTGAGCTCAGCCAATTGGTAATGTTGGCTGCTATAAAAATACACTATACCAAAACAAAGTGAAAATTGAACCATAGTTACGTCTACTTTCGTAAAAAGCGCCATCTGTTATATAGTTTCTATACTTTAGTTTAATGAAAATTTTAACATTAAAAAAGCGAATAAACTTATACAGTAATACAATATTTTTTTACTGCTATAATAATACTAAAATACCCACATATTTTGTGGAATAAATTAACGCCAACTGTGCAATATTTGACTTCACTTTTGTCTATGGACTTATTTGTCAGTTCACAATAAGATGTCAATAACAGCAGTCAAACCCTAAATCACATATTTTTCGAATGTTCCGCTTATAATATTCAACGCTTGGTCTTTATTGATAATTTACTGCACATTTACAAGAAACCGGAAAAAATCTAATGCTAACTAATTTTGAAACATATGTATATACCTATGTATTTATACGTTACCTCTATATCGACAAAACTTTAAATAATTGATACAAGGATATGGACTATGGGTAAGACTTAAATTTTGAACACGAATTAAAACATAATGAATAAACATACATAAGAATTGGCCTTTGGCCTCATCACTTGTTCAAATATGAAGAAGTATAAACGTAGACTAGGCTGTACGGTCTAAGGATCTTTGCCTGTTCCATCACTGAAAAGGAGATGGACGAATATGGAAAAAAAATATCTCTGTACAAGTAAATAACTAGATTTCCACATTTGCTGTGCTTCAGTACTATTCATCTGAGAAAACTTCATTTTAATTTAATCATCAAGTAGGTACAATTTAGCTCACGATATCACCAGTTTACGTATTACGTTCATACAGTTTATTCCTATGTAATATTTTATAGTCACCATATACTTTGCTCTCTAAATCTCTGTTTAAAAACTAGATCGCTAATGTCTGCGTTAAATAAGACGAGACTGAAACTCTCGATGTCTTGGTCTTTAATAGATGTGTATACCACTTACCATCAGCTCAGGAATTTCACTGCTAGATGCTCTTTACGTAACCATTATTTGTAGCAACAATGAAATCTTGATGCAATAGTTACGGGTTCGATTCCCCTATAATAATGTATAATACAAATTTGTAAATAGAATACAACAAGAGACGGATATTTTGTGCAGTCATCAAGGTTACCTCTACATTATCTGAGGAGGGGATTGTTACCAAAAGGAACTAATATTCTTAGCTGCTAATAATGTAACATATTAGGTCGACCTCAACGTGATTCCTCCATGTAATCAACATTCCTAGTGAATTGGGCTCGATGCGCTACCTGAACTGACTTCATATTTATCTTATGATCTTTTACTAGTCCCTCGTTAATGTAAGCGTGTCCACCATTACAAAGTAACTGTCGTCAGCCGATGACTTTGCCATTTTTTCAGTTTCTAGAGTGAGGTATGGTTGTTAATGGTAGTGAAATTTTACACTACGGTGGAATAACAATTTAGACTTCATCATAGCATTTTGAACCGACTATGATGTTCATGAATATAGTCTAATGTTATCACCATAAAAAATGTTTGAATATGCTTGTTTTGATAATGATATCTATATATATATATATTATTTTATAATTTACGTTTTCAACAAATGGCATTTGTAAACATCAACATATGGCTCTATCTGCTGACGGCAAACCAATAACTCCAATCTTATATCGAATTAAAGGTTATTTTGCGGAAGTCCATTCCATTACTTGATCATATTATTTCGTTTCATTTCGCTACTATTTGCATGTATGAGATCTCAAATATTCAGTGCGGAAACCTAATGACAAGTACTGGAACCGTTACCACTATCGCCTTTGATGATTAAATTCCGACCGTTATTGAGTCTACACGCCTATTGCGATAAGTGTTTCGCCTCTAAACGAAGCTTGGAAGGCTAGTATTGACCATTCGGCGATTTGTTTGTTTGGTTTAATTCAGTCACCAATAGAGGTGATGGTAATACTTCCAGTTAGCAGCGATCATATTTTCGCATTTCTTTAGAAGTTACTTAATTCCATTAAGTAACTTCTAAATCATAAGGTACTCGTAAATAATACAAGTCTATACATACAAAATGATTTTATTCACATAGGAGAAGATGAGATTAAAATCGCACCGGAAGTGGAGTTTACAGGCAGGATATCACATATAACATTTATTTAAATCGTTTATTTTAATCATATGCGTATAATGAGCTTGGAAAGATAGATGTATGACTCGTGTATCCGTTTAATTACACTGTGAAGCTGCTTAAGCCTTCACACCCGAGGGGCGATGATAATCGCGAATGTACGAAGAACACATTTATTCTTTGTTTTGTATTTGAAGACGTCAGTGTATAAGCAATATTATTATGTTGATTTTAAGAGGAATAAATACACCGAAGATTTCCCTTTGTCTAGAAAAGCATTTGTTATATAGAATTTTAAATTAAGAAAAGTGGATTTTATATAATGCGACGTCATCGGATGCCGCAGTTTATTTGTGGTACACGTGTATTCTTTTTAATCTAATTGATATAACCAGTATTAAGGTGGAACACAAATTTTACCCATAACTTTAAACCTTAAACATTGCATACTATTCTAATTCATTCCTAACAATTTTCCCAAAAGACTGCAGCATTAGGTTCGTTAAAGATTATATTTGTGACCAACCTACTTATTCGAGGTTCAAGCATTTATTCCTTCAAAATATGTTTATATAATAAAGAAAAAAGTATATTGTTATTGTTTCACAAATATCCATTACAATCGTGATTTTGGAAACAACAAGGTGGTAAACTTCCAAACGCATTCAAAGATGTCACACACACTTTGGAATAAACTGTCCAAATAGATGAGGGGCACATATTTTAAATAAAATATCAACTCAAATGTACCTTCTTTCACTACAAATGGACTACCATTTATTTTTTTTATAATTATGATATTAGTAAATCATTCCTCCAGAAACACCTTCAATCATTTCGATTTTGACAACGATATGCACACAATAAAAAACATCACCTCAAGAGCCGGTTAGTTAAAAATCAATATATAGTTTAGATACGTACAAATACAATAAAGTTATTGTTCCATGCTCATTAATACAATGCAGAGATAGACTTCGTATTTTAATTTTATTAAAATATTCAAACTAAATATAAAATATTCAGCAAGTATTTCATCAATCTTTTACGTTATATACGTATTCATACACACATTTTTTTCTCAACTATCGAAGCTCTTTTATAATTTATTTACGCATTTTTCTCTCTTTACTTATTCGAATCGATACACTTGTCTTAACATTTACATTTTGTCAAAGTAAGTAAATATACGAACTACTTATATATCTAATACATTTATAACAAGTTTCACCATTTATAAGAAAAACTGAAATTAGACAAAAATATCGCAGTTATATATTACAAAATATTCGAATATTTGAGCTTTAACCGTTTGTATGACAATTTGTGCATGTAGCAGTTTTATTTGTATTCAAGAAAAAAATAAAAAATATAAAAGAGATAAAATATAAAAGATATAATACTTACGTTAAAGGTATTTTAATCACATCGTAATATTATATACCTACATATATTAAACACGTAATTATTAAAGCGTATCTACAAGTTGATAGAAAATAAATTATACATACAATGTTATAGAAGATTGTAGAAAAAACGTAAACGTAGAAAAATGCCAAGTACCACGCTAGGCTAGGTACTTTTCTATATTTGAGTAAATTTTAGTCGAAAAGGCATAAAATTGGACAGTAGGTATACAAACGATGGGAGTATCCAAATAGTCTTCTACGAAATATTGCTAAATACATCGTCTTACTTACTATAAGCGTCATCACACCGATCACATAACACCGTGTTACACCGTTTTAAGGAGACTAAAGTTAGGAAGACACCAAGGTACTTAAGGGGCAAGTCGGAATACAACATTAATTTTTGGAACATAACAGTGCACTACTGTGCATCAAACATTACATTTTTTTCACTTATAATTATTATGTAAGTAAGTAATTATGATTTATATAACATATACTTATGACATATATATATTCGAGTTTTATTTCTCACCTTAGGATAATTAATTTGTTTCACATTTTAGTTTATTATAATTATATAGTCTTTGGTTATATGATAATTTTACCTACAAATCTTTATGTGATACCTATATACTTTACTTTTATTAAACAACGTTATCAGAATTGTACCTATTGTAGTAATATACAGGCTGTATCAAAATTATAAAAAACAACCCAAAATACAAGTTTTCAGGAAAAAGTCTTATAATTTTATGAACTTATTTAAATGCGTTATATTCTGTTATGGTGGTGAAGTCTAGCAATATTCTGCTTAAAAACTTACAAGACTTGTTAATTACATTTGAAACGTTAGAATCTATAAAACTTATAGTTAGTGATTACATAATGAAAATAAGATTCATCTGGATTATATAATTCTTCTATATTAAACATAAATACAAAATGAACCGACTTACATGTGTTGACGGGTTAGCATTTCAAATAAACAAGATTAGGTACAAGATACAAGATAAAGTTAAATATTACTGTTACATCTTTGAAATGTACAAAGAGATTCTGAACATTTTTTCTTACTCTTGTTATAATAACATTATTTACACCATATCTCAACTAGAAGGAAGATAGATGAAATACACGTAATTAATAGGCGTCATCTTAATTGGAAAGGGTACCTACAGAGTACAAACGCGGAAATTCATACATGAGTTGTTATTGTACGTATTGGGACAACTGTCCCAATACGTACAATATGACAATATTTTGGAACATTTACAAACTATTCAATTTTAGTACAGGGTTTCGGATTGGTATACCCTTTCCAACTAACCCTGTACATTCCGGTTATTCACAATAATGTTGGATTCAAGAAACTTAGGGCGCATTTTTATTGATCAAATCTACGTGCAGGGACTCGGACCGGCAGGAACGAATAGTACCCATAATTAATCGTCTAGCAGTACTACTCCCAACCGACAGGGACGAATAGTGTAATTAAGCGTCCATCGGTAATAAAGTCTACAGTCGGCACATGGGTAGATATTCTTTTTTCCAAATGCTTAAAAGATTAGTCGCATACCAATGAAAAAATTGAGGAATGAGGTGTAATTTGTTTTAAAATTTTTCCGCAACCTGAGTGCGATCTATATCGGTCAATGAAAATGCGTCCAAGTGATTCACCATAGTCTCGACCAGTATCATCTACTTGTGACCGGGTTAGCGCTTAGTGAAGGGGTTGTTGCGGGCGGTGGTCCGCGCGGCAGCGGCCGCTGTCTGCGTACAGTTGCACAACGCGTCGAACATGCGAAGAACGAATCCCCTCGCTCTTCCCAATCGCCGCTTCATGTTACCTGCAAAAAAATATATATATATCAGTGTGTTTTACTATAGCAGTCCACAAACTGATTAATAAACCAGTTGAAATTTCAGCCAGTTCTAAACAGCCAGCTGTACAGATATTAAGGTTTAAATTTTTTTTCATGTATTAAAACTGCAATGGTACACAAGCTGACTGCCAACCTATTAGTTATTGACAACCATCGCCTATATGAATGTACTGCCATGAACATAACGTCTTTATTTGACGCCTTTGATACTCTTATGCCTTGCTATGACAGAGGATTAAGTTGTCACGTTTCCGGAATTTATAATCAATCAGTCAGTTTAGAAACTAATTAAAAAACCGTTGAAGTTCCTGCCAGTTCTGAAAAGACGTAGCCAGTTGATTATGAAGCAAGTTTACAATAGGTAGTAAAAATTATAGGGGCATCTTTCGTCCTAATTCATCCAGTAGAACGTAATGGAATGCTATAACATAATATATAACAACATATCTTCTGACCAAAGAATTTATAGTTATATAGGACGAATACTGAATTTAAAACAGGGTTTAAATTCAGTAACGAAAATTCATAAAACAGCTCATGCTATAAAACGGTAACGTAGGTATTTTCGTATAAATGCATATTACTCTGGTGACCTACATTCTATAAGTTATGCTCATAATCTAGTTCGGCAGAGGCATTATGATAGTACCACGAGGCTAAATGTAGGTTAGCATGCTTGGCTGCAACTTTGTTGATAATAGTAGGAATATCACCCTAAGTTGAGCCCTTTATTGTAATACCCTTGGTATAGGGTGGGGAAGTTAACATATTGATCTGACTACCTCTCCATAAGTGAATGTCTTATTTGCTTAAAAGCGTGATTTTACTGTTTGAAATTATCAAACTCACATCTAGTTATTTGAATAAAAATAATATAACATTAATTTTATATACCTAATAATTAATTTCTTGCATTAGAATGTACCTAATCTTTTAATGCAAACAGTATCTACAAAAATATATCATGTAAGAAAAATACATTAAGAGTTTTGTTTACATTATCTACTGTTCAGAAGTCAGACCATCTTGCATCTTATCATGGATGAAGATTGAAGATTGTTATCAGTGAGAGCAGTATGCAAATGTGATAACGGGGCAGACAACAAAATCGTTTAGGTATATGTATATTGAATGTCACAATAGAGATAAGGATAGTATGTAGATCAATCTAGAAGAAGTATCGTTATTTATACTAATTGTCCTGACCTCATGCTCGTCTTACCATCCTCCATTGGTACCTGGCCAGCGAAGGTATATTGTTACTATAGACGTCCACACTACTCCATTATCCATAAATAAATCTAACGCGCAATAAAATGCTTGCTGTTTTAAATGTAATTAAAGGGTATTATTATATTTAATATTCATTTTATTCTTCCAATTGATGGTAGGTAGGTATCTGTGAATGCCGGCATATAATAGATACTAATTTCTTTTATTATCTGCATATATGCTAATATTATCAAAAAGTTGAAAGTGTGTCCCTATATTTGTTAACTTTTCACAGTTAAACGGCTGAACGGGATATTAAAGAAATTTAATGTATAAATAGTTTGTGTCATTAGGACGAATATAGGCAATAATTTGTATTAGTAAAATAGTACATATCATCCATATTATATATCAACATAAAATCTACCTAAATCTAATTAGTTAATAAGGAGTATATTCTTTTACTTGGTTCTAAGAGAAACAACGAAGATGTCAACACATAAAAGAGACCGTGAACACGCACCATTTTATTCACGACAAATTCAGTAAATCTCGAACATATGAGGTCCTTGAATATATAGTGAGACTTTTACGAGCAACTGAAGGTCTCCCCACACTCGGCATTCATTCTCACTGAATACAATTGAATCTGGTTTGGGTAAAATTTAGCATCCATTTTTTGTTATTTTTTTTGTATAGAATTGTAACACATTTTGCTCTTTTAGGATTTTGAATAGAACACAATCATTTGTACGTATATTTTTTATGTAATTGGAATGCCAGACATTCTTGCAGCTCACGTAATGGTAACTGATAACCATCGACTACCTAACCTACATGATCAGAATTATGGACATCACGTTATCATGTGACACACGAATAACCATTCATGCGTTGCCTTTCCAGAGGACTAAAATGTCATGCCTCTTATTCTGTAATTACATAATCGTCTGTTACATGAAGCCTAAGTCTGTAAACCTATGTGCATAAAATTATGAACACAGATCTAGTATAGTCATCTCCAGGGTAGTTACTCCTCATAGCATCCCATTTATGGTCGTATGATGTAAGTGCATAGTATATATTATATATATCTGTACCTATCAAAGGTATTTTTGTGCATTAAATAACAACACGTTTTAGGGGTACTGAAAATATAAAACGAACCTCTTCTATTTGGATACCGAACAGCATTTTGCAAAGAACGTATGAAATACGTATGTTTGTAACACAGATAAGAAAATACTATATAGTCTGCATATAATTATGAGATGGTTTCAACATTCTTATTTCTCTATAAGTTAGTACTGATGTCCATCATTTATTGTTATAATAAAACAGTAAAAGTATTATGAAAAGTGACCCTGTATAATTTGAAAATAATAATAGATCTTCTTTTCTATTTCTTGTATACAAGGTCTCTTTTTAAACCGCATTATAACAATTCCTCTTTTTTGCTTCAGAAATATATTGTTAAACAATTAGTACTATATTATTATTACGAGTAGATGTTATTACTTAGTAAATTGAAATGCATAAAAAAACATTTATATTCGAAAGACGAATCGACGTTGGTAATAAACAAAACATCTAGTGACTCTACCTTTCTAATTGAATAAGTATATTGTTATCTACTTGTACTATTTCTATATCTGCTGAATATCGATTAAAGGCTATAAGTTCAGTAATTTATTCGTAAAAGCTTCTGTTATCGATGTAAATATTTGAATAATCTTCTAATATTTATCTCGATTATACAGAATAAAATTTGCAATTTGTTGAAGATACCTAGAGTATCAGCTACGGTATCACATTGGACGTCGGAGAATCAATAATTGAACTCTAGCTCTTGGGTTACCATAGACAAGAGTGTAGAGTAAAGTATAGGGTGTTTTTGAATATCATAACAACCTACCTTAACAGCAGCATGTCATATAAACTTAGTATAGGTATATTTTATAACAAAAGAGAAACCTAATTTTGGACACTGCAATTGCTGCGTACATTAGTCGTAAAGGGAATATTAAACCAATATCCAGGTAAGTAGAATACTAATGAAACTATATCTTTCACCACGTAACAAATTGTAAATAATAATAATACCTACGGGGTAATTCATACAACGCCATCTATACCCTATCAAGCAGTGCATGTGTTATGTATACTAGACAACTAATACAAATGCTTAAATACATTTTTTTAATGCCTAATAATATACATACATACAAAATGCCCAGACTTATATTCGTGAATACAAATATTTTGGTTTCGAACTAGTATGTACATTGTGCGAGGAAACCAAACTAACTATCGGAATTTGAGCGATGTAAAAACCGCTAGACCACTGACCACCTATAATATAAATATAGCTAATTAAAAATACCTGTTGTCAGTACTTGAAAGTTGTATAGAAAAAAATTTATTTACAGGCTTTATTAAAATATTAGACCTCAAAAAGATGATTATTAGAATCTCTATGTGCATTTTATCACGCTTAACTCAGAAATAGATTAACCGGTTTTCAACTATAATTTTGTGTTCGTTTAATTCCAATCAATTTACATGCAAATAAGTTATACTGGAATGAAGTCGCAGTCTCTGATAGTATGAATAATGTTTTAAACTTTCCATAAATTACAATAGAAATAATATTTATTCAAATAAATTTAACTTCATAATAAACAATTAACATAATTCAACAATTAGTCAAAATATTAAGCTACGTTATGTCCTAAATGACATAATTACAAGTTCATAATGGTAGTCTTTTTTACTTGAAACACAACAAAATAATCACATAATTACTTATTCAAATAAGCCGAGAGTAGGTAATAATCGCACGTCACAAAACGTCCTGTCGTTGACAATAATGACATGCTATTTTTAACCTGTCATTGCCTTTAGCCAAGCATTAATTTCACGTTCACTGACAAATGCTGCAATGTTTTCAACATAATTACCTAATAATTTAATAGTAAATAATATTATCTTCCCGCCTGTTTCTCCTTATGGGGTAGGCAGAGAGTATTAAATCCTAGGTTTTCACATAGGATACTTTGTACGCTAGTTTTGTTTTAAGTTAGTTTAGTTTATTATTAAGATGTATATAGAATTTATTATTAAATAATTATCATTTCTTTTATTTATTTAAATAACAATAAGTTTTTATTAAATAATTTAGCATGAATATAAATAAAAGCCCAGAACGGGCAAGTACTCGTAGGTTACGATGCATAGAGGAAACAATTGTGGCATAGATGAGGAGTTTCCGCCGCAATTCGCGTAGGTTTGCAATCCATGAGTAGTACATAGGTACTCCTCGTACTTTAGATAATCTTTATGACATACAAGATCTAACCTACGATTTTTCTAGCTTTTGAAATAAAATATACCTTCTCCTACCTATATACCTTCTCCGTGACAAAATCTATATTTAAGTCAAATTACATTAGGATCCGTTCAGGCGTTTAGGTGAAATGGTAAAAAACAAACACGCAGATACACTTTGGCTTTATAATATTTGTATGGATAAAAACTTACTTGTTCAAATCAGTATACTCAATATAAAAATACTTGACATTATCAGTTCGACAACATTAGTGTAAGTAATAAGTAGGTTGGTACTTAAGCAAGACTTCCACTTTTTACCAATAGTGGGGTAAGATTTGTTCAAACTATATCATGCCATCGTTGTCTTGTCATTAATGGTGAGTAAGTAAAAATGACGAATAATTGGCATCTGAGAAAAAATGGTAAACGTATTGACTCGAACCTAATGTAATAATTATTACAGTTCCTGTACAAAAGTCTTAACTCTCTACTGTGTCTTAGTACTTAGTAATTATATAAAGGGGAAGGAGATGGTCTAGAAATCTCATTCCTAACTATCAGGTTAACCTCCACGCGCTTCATCATGGAATCCGTCATTAATTTCTGGGATTTCATCACGATGTCTCGACCTGACCTCATTCTTATTCCATGCTCCACCACTGATGCTTTGCCAGCAAAGTATATATATACAGTCACAACTGGCCGTACTGGTACCATACTATTATCATCCAATAAAAAAAATCATAATTATATTGACATATCTCATCTTTCAAATTAGAACAGAGCGTAGAGGTGTCGTCTTTCTTAGAAAGAAGTAAGAATGACAACTAACATTAGTAGCAAATCCCCGTGGAGTTCCGTTAACTTAATTTACTGAAGTCAGTACATCCTAATTTATTTAACTACGTACATAAAGCCTTTATTAATAGCTACAGTTTATAAACAATTACTAAACGTGATTTATTGAATATTGCTTAATTAGTCTTATATTTTTTGGTTTATGCTACTTGTATGGCGTCTTGAGTATGTGAAAAGATAACAAATGAAGGTTACACTATGTATGTTTTATATATTTAGTGATATATTGCTATACTTATTGGATAAGAGTATGCATACATGTACATAAAACTTCAATATATTTCAAAGAAGAACAATTAAAGCTACAATTCAGATTTCGTGTATAAATCAAATCACTATTACTTATTTAGTTACTACCTGTTTGTTGTGTAAAAAATATTTTTACTATAATGAATTTGTGCTATTTGGGAGTTTGTTTTCTCAAATTTTAGCTACAAAATGTAAAATTAGAACATTTGTGTAGAAGAGCAACACGCAGTTTATTGCTCGTTCTTCTTGTGATTGTTTTCGATAGATTAAGAAAATAAGAAATACTTAAATATTAATTTATTTGAATACATATTATTTCTATTTAAAACTATATAATTACCTACTAGTAGTAAACAATGCGTATTAAAACTGTCCTATACCCAAACTATGTAAATGTCATGTATCATACTATAATATCATTTGTGTACCAATATTTGTCGTATAATCCCAATAATGATCGGCATATTCTACTCCCGAAGTTTATACTTTCATAAGTTTATTTCGTCTATCATGTTTTTTGGTAGCTGTTAAAACTTTGATAATCGAAAAACTTGTGCTACAAAGTTCTGTTAAAGATAAAATCGTCTGACATTATTTGCAAAATGTCGGCCCGACGCACTTTCCTTAATAGAGTCATTAGAACCTTGATTAAAGGCCGGTGTGTACAAAACGCTAATTGAATAATTGAATATGAAAAATACCTTGTACCTATAAACTAAGGATGTAATACCTGTTACCTGCGAATTCGTTTGGATTTTTTTAGGATATATCGGACTTCTTGATACAATACATGCTTACATCAATTTCAGTAAGATTCGTTCAGATATTGTATGTTGCCGTAAAAATGAAAAACAAACAGACGGATGCACTTTTGCATAGTAAGTACTTGTGTGTATGAAATTTTATTTATTACGATTTGAAAATGTAGAAAAATCTGTGAATCTTAGTAGAACCAGTACTTACCTACGCACATGACAAAATTTCTAATATCCTATCAAATATAAATATTCCACAGAATAGATTTTTTATGTCCTTAGAGAAACTATTAGGTCTCATGATAAACCTGGTAATTGTTATGATATCTGTACTTGTGAGTTCTAGGTAATTATTATGCAATATACAATATAGATAAATACGCTCTTAAGAATAATAAATAGAGAGAGAGAGCTCTATAGTCGATAGTTGATCATGCTTATCAATTTTAGGTCGTATCGTAATTTATGTTAAACACCCATGATTACTAAAAAACGGTTTCTATTTGTATTATCGATTCATGTCCCGGCTTACTTTTGTATAATACATATAATATTACTGTACAATTAGTTTGTGTACCAAAGTAATTTCTAGGAATAAGAAGTACCTATATAAACCATAGTAGGTATAAAATAAATAGCGTTATTTAATTTATTATTCCTCAATAATTATTGCTATATGATTCTAAAAATTGGAGTTCTACCTGTGAATTAAAATAAAAAAAGTTGAACAAATGTAAGTAAATATAGCGGAGTCGTTAGGTGTACTAAATAAATTATACTTGTTCAAAGGGATAACATAGAAGCGAAGAGAATTGCTTAACTAAAGTTGTGAGCTCATTATAACTTTATATCGCTGTCTACTTACCCGCAGCTGGGTCTTGTTCCTGAAACAACAGAAAATAAACAATTTAACAACACTTTAAATTTTTTTACGTATGCAAACATTTTTCATAGTATTGGCTTAAGCAGGCAATTCATAATCACGAAAATAAATTATGCCGCGTTCCAAATATTGTCTATGACAGGAAATGTCGTATAATAATTATATATCTATAAAGTGATAACATGATTTTTCTAAATCTGCAATACCTACTTGAAATGATAAATTGTCTTTAATAGGAAATCGTGCTGATAATGTTTACAATGCACCAGTGACTGGTGTCATTACGATATCATGAGAAAATAGTTTTCAAACATTGATTGTATATCAAGGACAATAATCAGTGGTATACACTAAAACCAAATCCGATGCAAACAATAAACACTAGTGTTATATAAATATCATTTGAGATAAAATTGGATTGATACCAAAGCAATTTCCTGCGATTATCGAGTAATTTCTCGAACTCAAGGGTTCTTGGATATCCCCATTAAACCCACACAATATTTATGGTTAACTATTTATTTTATTGTTTAGTAATTTAATCTTCCACAATAATGACCTCTAATCAATAGATTAATTTAGATGTGTTTGGTACTTTGCCAAAGTAGCGAAGTCTAGAGAGTCAAATAAAGGCCTATCGATTAAACAAATATGTTTTATCAGATAAATGTAACCTGATTGGACAATGTATATGTACAATATCATTAACATCACTAAAGCGTCAAATAGATAGATTTATAGGGAGATAATGTAAGTAATCTAGATATAAAAGTTTGCTCAGTGGAGAATAAATTAAAACCAGGCGAATTAAGTCTTGTTGACTACTAATTTATTGCTCAAACAAATTTAGAAGCCATTAAAAGTTTGTTGTCTCTGGTTTTATACAGATAATAAAATCTTCCCTAAATCACAAAGAAACATATGAATGTATTGATTCTGTTTATCTACTGTAAATGAGCATGAATGATAAAAAGTAACTTATAAATTTGAAATTCGAATAATGATGAAGAGCATGCAATTCAGATTGATTTCTAGTATGTAGTCGTGTATCGAAGATATTATTATATTCAATGATGGAACAGCATAAACTATGTTGAAGAAGCCGATATTTGCATTCTACAGCGGTACTAGGTACAGCACTTTTAACACTTACCGCCCTATCAATTCCATTTGTTCCTTACTTGGAAAAATATACATTGATACTTACAAATTTACTTCTGTCTTTCTCTTTTTGTTTAAGTTCTGCCTCTTTTTTTGCTTGCTGAATCAGTTGGTCAACAAACTCAGTGGCCTCTCGCAGTTTATCTGGATCACTCTTGAAAGCGGCTATTCTTTCAGCCAAGGCTGAGGCATCACTGTCTTGTATCATTTTGTTTTATTTAATATCCGTATCGAAAACTATAGGTGTAAAAATGTCACAGTTTTATAAAATCGTTTGTGTCACAAAACTAAAATAATAAAATCACTATAAATGTGTGTAAGTTAATATTTTTCCATGGGCCATAACTCTGAGAGGGAGTTCGTTTCCCTTCACTTAACATCGAGGGGTGCTCGATGGGCCTCGGGGGCGACGTCAGTCATTATTGTTTTACACCCTGTGTGAAAGTGTATGGAACGAGATGCGCGTGTCGGCAGTAGAGTCGGCGGAGGTACTGGCCAAGGCAGGGCGACGCTCGACGCTCGACGCTCGATCATGCGCCGACTGATGACGGCGTCGGTACTTCATATAGGTACGGTACGTTTTTACTCCGAAGATTAAATTCAATCATAATCTATGAAGAACCTCGAGACATTTTCGAATTCTGCTACTTATTTACAATCGATACATTACTGATTATATATTTGAATGATCCTTTGAAGAATAAGCAATTGATGAGTTGTATTCGTATTTCTTAAATAGTGTAGACAAAACGTGTGAGGTATGATATAAATACATGTCGATTTACTACGTTTCTCAACTTACTAACTGACATTTACATAGAGACGGTGAAATAAATATCTACTTAATTAACGTAATTGAATAAAATAATATTGTATTTACTAGAACGAGTTGAAATTTATATCAATTTATAAAAAAAGGTTCAGTAGTTTTCCATCGTAACAATTGTCTATAGAAATGTGTATAGTGAATGAAACAATGATAATTGGTACTACTGGACATCAGGCTTGATATAGAGCTTGACTTCATGTTTTCCTTCTCTTGCTTATAAATATTGTGTTTCGTTTTCCTAGTAGAGTATAACGAAAAACAGTAGTCACATTTTGTTCTTACGGAACCACGTGGGGAAATTGATAAAAGTATATGAAATTTAGACTCCATTCAGTATGGAGTTTAAATTTAAATTTCATTCAATACATACTCGAATACTTGCCTTAAAAAATATTCATCGACGAATACTAGGTATATATCAATACCACAGAACTGTTCTGTGATCTATATAATAAAAATGTAAGTATTCGTTGTTTATAAATGTAAGATACATAGGGAATTTTACCGATTGTTTGTTAGAATTTTTATCTGTTTGTTTATGCGGGCAAATTTCAGAAACAACTTAGGAGTTTAGATGTGTGGTAGTAGTTTTAAAAAGTATTATGGTAAATTTCATTTAAAATTTTGTGTTTGTTTTATTCCATTCATATAAAAAAGTTGTATGGATACGAAATCTTAGCATCAGCTAGTTAATAGTAATACTTTCCTACGAGGTATGACTGCGAAAGTGAGTTTTTTTTCTACTGCTTGCGCCTTGAGATCATAAAATTTAATCGACAAAGCATTTGCATAGAGATGACAAGTTACTTTTTTATTATGAGCAATAATTATATGCTGCTCACTAAATCACTACAGTTTATTGACTTTCGGAAGCCTTATAATTAACGTTAATATTTTAGCATAAATGTGTAACGATGCCCAAATAACTAGGTTTAAACGTTATACGCGATATAAATAGGATTTATCTTACGATAAACTCTATTTACAACGCATAAATTGGCGACTAATATGGATTAGAACAAAATTAATTATATATAATATCTTTTAATTACTGATAAACGAACCTTTGGATTAGAAAATACAACATTAGGAGAAATACGAAAAGAAAAACCTTTAAGAAAACTATCCTCATTTCTTGAAGGTATCAATATCATATCAGCTCGGAAATATTACTGTTGGGAGTGATTGAACAGTGTGAGTATTCATGGCGTATCATTCACCATAATATATGCGCTGGAATTCGTTGTCTCCACTAAAGGTATAAATGCCATTACCAGTTAATAGGTATTTCAGGGTCTGCGTGTGCATGCATCTTACCTAAGGATTCCATACCTAATTTAAATAAATATCAGGCTTATGTACCCATGTACGTATACTATATACTATTAGTATAATTTGTACTAAATAAATATATGATAGAAAAATATTGAAAAGTAGCTTAATACTGCTTTCTTTTTCCAGCAAATTAAAATAGAAAAAGCGAATACTACTTATATAAAATACTGCTGAGTTATATTAAATACAAATTAAAGTTATTTGGTGCTATTAAATGATATTTATTCTTCAGAGAAATCCTTTATAACTTCATAAAAACATACACAGATATACCTACCTACCTACTCGTAGCTACATACGCAGAAATCTCTTTCATAGAAAATAAGTCTCCAGTTCTTATCAGCCTCACTTTCATCCTACCCAACGCTGTAGTTTTGCTTTCTTGTTGAGATTATTTGTATACTTCTAAGTATTAATATACTCAATGATGCAAACATATGTTATCCCATTTCCTAGGTTCCCGTAAGACATATTTTTTATAAACGATTGTCATGTATGTACATATAAGCTTCATGTGCTTGGAGGTAGTCAAAATCAAAAAGAACGGTAATATTTTCTGGTTCTATATCATTAATATCTGAAAACTTCAGTTCAAATATATTCTTTATAGTTTACGTTAAGCTGAAAATATTACGAATAAATAAGAAAAAATCTCAGCTCAATTAGTTGCCGGCATCTTTTGAAAACTTTTAGCAAATTAGATTACAAAATTGTTTAATAACTACCCAGGACAATTAATATAGCACTATCTACTAATGTACTAAGCAAAGTTTAAAAAGTGTTTCAAAGTTTATATGGGTACTCTAAACAAATAATAGATACATTTTTTAATTTATGAAACTAAATAATAGGGCAAATATAGCCGCGGTCAAAAGCTTGTTAATTCCTAACTCTCGGTACGGACCGCGAGGCTTACAGTTCATTAAACACAACCTCGTCCATTGACTAAAAGCCTTTGGGAAATCAATTAATACCTACCTTCAGTGATGTATTATGTATTATGAAGCTTGCTATAAGTATTGTTTAAAGATATTTTCTACTTATAGTGCTCAAGAATAATACTGTAATGTTAAAGAGGGGGTTAATAAATTAGGACTACTGGACGTATTCTAGGAATGTATAATGTGAACTATCGTGGGGTTAATAAATTAGGACTACTGGACGTATTCTAGGAATGTATAATGTGAACTATCGTGGTTAAACCCTGGTGAATTCACTAATGTGAGCTAACTGATTTAACTTCATTCTCATCCTATCATGTTCCCTATGCACACATATTTTTTAAAGGTTGAATTAGCGGGATTTTTTGGTAAGTAAAAATAGTATCTAACAGTAATGAAATAATCATCACACAGAAAGAACACCTGAGTTACGAAGTAAGTACCTAAATTAGTACAACACTTAGCTACGAATTTTAATTTCAATAAACTGAATATCCACATGGGGCCTATTTAAATTTACAGGGTTGCCTATATCATACTATAACCAATTTCTAATAATGAATTAAAAGCAAGAGTATGAGATAGTTATATTTTCAACTATTTATTAGAAACTTACACAAAATGAACTTAAATAGTAATTCTACTTTTGTTAACTAACATAAAATCGAAGTCAAAATGATTTATTAACATGGGACTTTCAGCTTCTTGTATACGTCATATTTATATCACAATACCTACCGGCAAATAAATTGATTTACAAATAGATTACATCTGTTTGGATATATGGTACTAAGGTCATATTTGTCAACCCTATAACGACGCACATTTAATTAGCAGGTCGCAGTTAAACGCATTAGATTGTCGTCTAGACACAATGGGGCTCTCGCTCCGGGGGATATGAACGTGACCATTTATTTTGCGTTATTGTCTGATTACTTACATCGCTATATTACAAATATAAGTATAGTAGATATTCGTTGTTGATTTAAGATACATTTTATATAAAGTAGGTAGGTTATTTCTGCCGCCAAGTGTCTAGCTCTGTCAGCTGAGTTGCGAAGTGAAGTTTGAGATATAGTACTGAAGTTACAAGGTCTAGAGAAATTACCTAAGTTCTTGGGGTTTAATAAATTATATATACAGTACTATTTCTATGGCAACTCACGAGTGATACCAAAAACGTCACATGAAGACCTATATTCATTTATGTACTTGTATTCATATATGTATGGATATAAATGAACATAGAGACGAGCGGATGTCACTTTCCATAAGGTATCTAAGTTATCAGCTTGTTTGCTATGCTAGTAATAGAATCTCATAAATTGTAATGTTTCTACTTGGTACTTAATGACTATTTTTTTACTTATTTTTTATTTTTTACTTATTTATTAGCACGCAGAACAGATTACATTCTTTCAAACCTTTCCTATTTTATTTTCCAATTTCATTAAATAATGATATGCGCTAATGAAATAACTCTGAAAATCCCGACTTAAGCCACAGATAACATGTTATCTCAAAATAGATAATTTAGGAAAATCAAAGATTCAACTGAAATTGTTAGTACCTGAATAAACGTACCTACCTCCAATAAATAATTCTGCACTATATAATATTTAAACAATCAACTTTACTATGGATTGGCGGATCTCTGACTGCCTGTGAAGCTAATCTTACAGAAATATATTTAATAATGTATAATATTCAGATATTTGCAACTGTGCCTTAAGATTGGTTAGCCAGATATAATCAACTATCGAGGTCTTTGTTACTGCTATACCACAGCTATATCTACTTACTTAGAATCACCACATTTTTCTGGATATATTTTAATCCAACGTGGCAGGTGAGGAGCCTAGTGGCGTCAATATTAAACCATGGCGTATATTCATTAATGTAAACACCAATAACGGTGTTTACATTAATGAAAGGTTCTTAGGCAATTTGTGGCGAATCTACAGAGAGTCTATAAATTTGTACAAAGCCACGACTGGACTCATGCTATCACCACCCTTTTCCTGCTGCTGCCTATACCAGACGAACATACAATACATCAGTAATAGAAGTCCCATAATAGCCGCTAAAAATTTAAATTAACACAAAGTTTTTTGATTTCGAATATATTCGAATTAACTGCCATTCGGTCCAGTCGGGATAGTAAACTACTAAAACCCAGCGCTCTCTAATTATTGATGACGTTAGAGTGTTACTCATCAAACAGTTTATCAACAATATTATTGCATTTACACGTCTCCTTTAGTTAAAGAACTAAATACAAAATAGTAGATCGTAGATAAGTGTAGTAACTATAGGTACAAACTTGATACCTATAATATGGTATCATATTAGTACTACTACTACTATTTAATTAGAACGGAATATTTACAAACAAAATATAACTAGGAAGGTGGCCTGTCTACCTTCCTACGTAGTTGCAATTCTATAGGTGATCTTTAACAACTGATTCAGCAGTCCAAGTTTACTAAGTAGGAAAGTAAACAATCAAGTGCCACTTCTCAGGAAATACGTGACAGAAACACAATGTTTATGTACTTAAAGTAACCTAAGTACACTACAATTTACTACTATGTAAATATTTTCTCGATTTTAATTATGATTATATGTATATGCTTACTTGAATATTTATAAAATGTATCGATTTATGAAGTCATGTAGACATGAACAAATAATGTAAAAGGCTTTTATTTTGGTAAATATCCAAAATAAAAGTCAATCAGATCTGACTTCATTACATACATATGTTATGATTTCATTCATTTTAGATTCGGTACAAAAATGAAAACGAAACTAAACTGCGCCGATTCAGTTAAAAAGGCGCCTTCGTAAAGTTGAAAGAACAAAGAACATACCTATATATATATATATATATACCTATATATATAGACATAAAATAACTATAGCCCACAGAAGAAGTAAATGTAATGGTATCTGTGGTAATACATAATACTTTTCAATCCCCGCCACAAAAAGAGGGGTGTTATAAGGGTGACATGTCTATGGCTCTTCTAAACGTAGGGACTGATTATGATACGGATTTCTTTGTTTGAAAGCTAATATTAGTTATAGTTAATTCGATTTTTAGTGTATTCGGGGGTTACATATAAATTTTAACATTACATTTAATATTTATTCTATGCAGAAGGTAACGAGACATTTGTTATCAGTTTATACCTACCAGAGTTAATATTCCTCTGATATACTTACTTTACTCTTTGGTATGTATATAGGTACCGGAGAACAAAGAGCTAACCGGCCGTAACGCACCACACCGTCAATACTGTGTGAAAGAGTATAATATAATTTTTCAATTAACTAATAGGTACCACAAATGTATCACAGCTGTACCTAAACTATCGACATTATTACAGTGGTGGCTACATATCTATTCGGTCATAAAGAAATGTATCGCACAAAATGAACAATTGAATTTCTGTCTCTTTTCCAAATTTTTATTATCAGAATATAGAATTATTATTTAATTTCAATAATTTAATTCTACTAACTATATATTAAATACATCACGCCATAAGTTTCATGAACTAAGCGGTTACTTATCTCCACGACGAGACGTCGACGTCGACATGCATAGTTTAAAATAATTTGATATTAGACAGCTAACTAAAAATAATTAAAATTATTATTTTTACGATAGTAAATTCCAGTCTCACAGTAAACTATGTCTGGGAAACTAATTTATTACCTTTAATTTGCATTTAAATTGGTTGAGAGCGAAATTGTTGCAGTGTTTATTTACCGTGGAGATAAGTAACATGCATTTTTAAAGACACCAATATTAATTTATAAAAAATAATACAAAAAAAATAAAGCACTAATTGATACATCGTATTAAAACGGTAGGTAAATAAAATAGAAAACGTATTATACAATACACAATATCTCGAATTTGCAAAAAATTGCAACTTTAATGCTTTGGTATCTTATAACGGGGTTCATTAGACGGCTGGCAGGGGTCAGGGTGAGCAGGGAGGTTGTGGCGGTGGTGGCGGTGGAGGAGCGCAATCTTTGGGTTCAGGAGGGGGTGAACAAGGCGGACACGGCGGCGGAGGGCTAGGAGGTGGATCTGGAACACACTCGTAGTAACAATGCCCGTCCCACCACCACGCAGGGCCAGGGCTCGGCAAATAGCTGAAACACACCTGTGGAATTTGTTATTATTACTATTTATTTAGAAAGTAGGTGTATCTATGCTAGGCAAAGGACTTTAATAATAATAGATAATATCTACATTTCTATAAAACAATATACTACGACGTGTACATATGCACATATGTAGTAATAATGTTGTATAAAAAAAATTGTTGCTAATGAGACTATAAAATATTCGCTTTCGTAAAGGCATAAGAAATATATTAGGGATGCCTTCTTCCCAGCAACGGAAAATAAGATTATTTTTTCTCTAATCTCTCATCACGCAATTAGCTTAATTTTTATTTTTATTTCCTGGACGCAGTTAGGTATAGTAAATTATATTATAGTCAGAAAATTAGATCAACAGAAAACAATACATGGGATATTGTAAACAATACTATTCCTATGAAAATATTACTATAACTAAAAATGAACGTTCACACAAATGTAGGTACAAGATGAGAGTAAATTCAATCGAGTGTACTGTGTAATTGTTTTTATCATTGTTTATGAACATGAAAGCACAGCTTTCATTACGACATTATATCTATAATATATAACAGTGAAACTAGATATAGTTTCTAGATTATACAATAATTAGGCAGATTATAGAATAACATACCTTATATGTAAATCAAAAGTTTAAAATATGAGCTTCAGAAATTTCTATACTTACCGCATCTGGTCTCACGCCACCAGGCATGGCCTTCTTTGTAGGATCTCTATTCATTGAAGGGCCCTCCGCTATTGGTGCTACGACAGGAGGCTTCACAGAATTAAATGCATTTCTTTTGAAATAATACTGATTTGAATATTTGTCGTCCGGTCCACGTGGTATGTCCGGCGATGGTATGGTCCTAGGTGCCATTTTTGGCGGAAAGCGTCCGTGCAAATTGTGTTTTCGTCCTAATAAAAATTCCCGCAATATTTGTAAGCCTAATGATATGTCTCTAAAATTCCACTTCGGTTTTCCCATATTAATATGATGGTATTTTCAACCAGTAATCAACTTTTATATTGAGTTTAGAATATGCTAATTATGAATATTACTAAGATGATTTGTTGAAATGTCGGTAACCTCTATATTTTTTGCTTAAATAGACAAATTGTTGACAAATTTGTCAGGCGACTTCAATCGAAGTTGTCAATTTGACTAGGTAAATAAATAATTTGTTTGAGCTGATACTAATATATCATGGGTATTACTTAATGCGAAAAATTATAATTTAAAGCGAAAGGCAAAATCATAGTGTGATGGCGCCATCTAGACTAAGATCTATTTACTTGTTTACAATATTGAATTAGAAAAAACATCTGCCTGAAATGAAATGTCGCTGGCGTGTGTTTAAAGCATCAAAACATTTCCATGATGCAAGACACTGAGCAAGTAATCACTACGATTCTAGATAATTCAATTACAGTCATTCAAAAATACAAAGATATTTAATTTACGTACCTATTTATTTTTTAGTTTAGCTATGTTATCAACAGGTATTTATAATAATCACTGTTTAATATTGTTAACATAAATTACTCAACATTCTGAACGCAACGTAGATTATTTTTATTTGAGTTTTCGAACGCGTGCCAAAACTCCCGCGTTTTTTGTATCTGTCACATCAAAAGTTGAATGTCCTGTGTTGAAATATGTCTTTATTATTAATTTATTAATGTTTTAGTGTTATTTTACTAAATTTAAATAAGTCTTTTAGTTTAAGTATTGCATCTAATAACTATTTCATAATATAACCATGAAAACCAGCAAATCTCCAGAAAATAACGAAGTGACTCCTTCGAAGAAAAAATTGAAGCAAGCTCGTCTTCCTTTTAAATTAATAAGTGATAGTCCACCGTCGCCGGTCCCTCCCCTGACACGGAAAAGAAAGCTTTCAACACCGAACCCTGAATCTGTCACAAAGATCGGTAAAATAAGCAAAGAAAATGACTCGACTGATAACTTGGTCGTCATTAGCGACGACGAATGTAAAGATGAACAAGTGTCCGAAGTGAAGTCCTTGAATCCCTATATTAAGTTGGTTGATACAGTTTTAAAAAAGAAAAAACTTCAGAAAACAAAAAAGAAGAAAGCTGGGAAAAAAAGATTGTCAAAAGAGGTGAATAACTCCACAGAACATGATGATAGTATTACTTGCGACAAGCCTGATAGTGATGAGGTTATGGAAGTGGATATACAAGAAGACAATGAAACCGACACTGTGAAAGAAAATGGCAATGAAGTTGACTGTACATCTAATTCTAAACCAAGTTCCACAATCAATGTTATTAACTCAAAATTTCCACAAGACCAGAAACAAGAAGAAAAGAAATCTTTAGATTTAGAAAATGAACATACCTCTAATGTCAATGTCAACAAAAATGAAAATTATATAAAAGATGTTATAAATGTTGATAGCAGTGATGAGATAAATCAGTCTAAGAAATCTCCAAAAGAGGAAGTTACTGTCAACAAACTAACACCAAAGAGGAGTACTAGAAATAAAGGTCAAACAGATGAACATAACCAGAGTATGACAAGTAATAAACTTAATGAGTCTGTTACATCAAATCCTACTACTCCAAAACATAATAGAAATACCAATACCCAGGAAAATGACTCTCTGAACGAATCAACTACAAATTTAACTCCTAAACAGGTAAGTTGTAGTTTTTTATTAAAATGAGAAAAGAAAACATACTCACTGATGATGATGATGACAAATACATTTTTATAAAATATAATTTGTGTTATCATCCAAATATTATTTTTATATGTATATACACTTACTATATATTATAATAGATTTTTTATTTCCTTAATATTCAAGTATCATTATTAACAATTTATATTAGTATAATTCAATGTAATATTTACAAATAATAGGCTGTCATAAATATTATATTAATGTAAATAATAAAGTAATTCATACTGTAAGCTATGAAATATATACATACTAGGGTTCATGTCGGGTTTTCGGGTTCTTCTCGGGTTTTCGAGAAATTTACATTTACGTACGTTTTCTCATATTATTTGGTTCTAATAACGTCAAAGAACTCAGTGGTTTCATTTGAGACGAAAACCACTGCATTTTTTGTTAAATATTAATTATAAAATTTAACTATAAAATTAATTATAAAACTTTTATTGAGTAGGTATATTTAAAAACATTATAAATATTATGAATAAGCCATTTTTTTTTAAATACTGAAATATATTAGGTTCTTACATATGAAATTAGCGTTTTGTCGTACTGGCCACTTTGATCTTAAATATCTCCTCTTTGGTTAGAAATTTCAATGTCAAAGTTATACAGCTATTCACTCATGCATTTGTTTTACGAAAACCGTAATACATATGCTTGGTTTTTTCTTTGGGTCACTCAGCTTACAAAATGGAAAACTTAAAATATCGCGTCATTTACAAGTACGAGTAGTTAATTCCGCCATGGCACTAATGCTGCAGAAATGGCTCGAAGGATTAATGATATGTATGGTTGTGGTGTCGCAAAAGAAAACACAATGCATTGTTGGTTGCAACGTTTACGTTCTTGAAATTTCCACCTGCAAAACACTCCCCGTGGGCGGCTGGAGTCCAAGGTTGGTAATTATGATAGCAGATCCATCGCAAACCACGTCAGAGTTAGTTTCAGTTTGCGGTGTTAGTGACAATAACTGTATTAATCCACTTGTAGCAAATTGGGAGGGTGAAAAAGCTTAAAAGGTGGGTCCCTCATGAATTGAGTAGACAATTCGCGTTTCGATCGACAAACTCGCGTAGACTGCTGCGTTACATTAGTCAACCGGCATAATAATAAAGGGATTTTAAATCGAACCTGTGATGATGTGGATCTTGTATTATAATTGGAAACGCTCATCGCAATGGCTGAACCCTGGCAAACCAACCAAATCCTGCCCCAAGCGAAAATTGACCCAAAAAAAGTTACTTGCGAGCGTTTAGTGGACTAGTTCCGGTGTTGTTCACTTCAGCTTTCTTAAATCTGGCCAGATGATTACGGCAGATGTGTGTTGTCAGCAATTGAGAAACCATAATGGAAAAGCTAGCTGCTAAACAACGGAGGCTGGTCAATCGCCGTAGGCTACTGCTGCTTCAGGACAACGCTAGATCACACACTGCACAACTGACATTTACCAAATTAGAAGAGATTCAATTGTAATGTCTAAGACTTTACAATTGCTCCCCGGATCTTGCTCCAACAGAATACCATTTTTTTCGAAATTTGGATAACTGATTGGGAAAAAATTCAAATCCGATGAGGCAGTCCAAAGTCCAAATGTTCCCGTTCAAATGTTTTTTTCAGTAAAGGGATCAATGAAGTACCTATGAGATGGCAAAAGTGCATAAATAGCAATGGTACATAGTTTGATTAAATAAACATGTTATATTTTGAAAAAAAAATACTTCAGGTTACTCCCTTAAAAAACACCACTTTCATATGTTAGGACCTAATATTATTCAGACTTATATTTATAATGACAGCACCATTTTTGGCTGGTTATTTAGAAAAAATCTACCTTAAACTTGTAAACAAAAATAGTTTCTGTAAAACAAAAAAAAAATACATGAAAGAAAACCTTAATATCTTGTATTATTGCGCCGCCACGCAATACAACAAACGTCAATTTAATTTCTATATAGGTACTTGATTTCTCGAATTCTCGACTTTTCTCGAGCTTGATTTCCCGGGAACAGAACCCAAGAATTTCCCGGGAATTCTCGACCCGAGAATTCCCGGGAATGAACCCTAATACATACATTTAAAATAATTATTTTTATTGTATAAGTAGAATAGTGCATATAAATTCATATTGTTTCTGAGAAACAAAATCTTTATTGAAAAATAGTATATATAAATTTATTTTCAAAGCTATTTAGAATATCTTTCTTTCAATGATTAGTTGTTTTATGTAATTATATATGAATGGTAAATAATTTACGAGCAGTCCAACTGATGTTAAGTGATAAACACCTATATACAATATTACAATGTATATCATATTATCATATGACATATTACTCATAGATCTGCAGAAGTAAGATGTCATATCTCTTATCCTTTCATTTAATAGTAGAGATATAGGTACATGACATGTGTGGGACATGACATTTACAAAGTCTCGGTTATTATTGTCAGAATAAACATAATTCAATACTTATATTTATATTTTTAACTTTTGTCTTTAAAAAATGAAATTAGATATTTCAAGTACATAATTTTTATTTCAAAAGGGAAATTAAATATAATAAATTTAAATTCATAGTTTATTTATATGTATTGTTATGATAGGTTTTTAAAAGTAAATTGTGAATAGGTTTATGTATATTTCTTCTTTATTATTGTAATTGTTTCATATATATTATTATAGATATGTTACGAAATTTAATGCACTTGCCATAGGTTGTACGGTTGTAAATACTATAGTATTAAGTCCCTCTTTTCTGCCACATTTAATTGTTAAATAAAGAAAATTATAAAGATGTTAAGACATATATGTCATTCAGCCACACTTAAGCAGGTACTTAATGGGCAGATGACTTTAGAAATAATTGACTTATATAGATGGAGGTCACTTCTTATAGCGATTTATGTGACTAAAGATACAACATAAAGGATGATAAAAAGTTTAAAAGAGCTCATTATAACATAAAGATAAGAATACAAATATTAATGCGATTATTGTTGTAAATTTTATTAATTAATTAATTTTTTATTAAAAGATAATGTCAAGAATGCTAATTTGTTATATATCTCTTAACTGATGATGTCCCTTATTAAATATGTATACCAATCTGTATGTATCTTATATTACAGCTGCAGAAAAGGTTGGAATCAGCAAAAAAGAAAGAAGAGAAGGAAAAAGAAAGACTGGATAGGGAGAAAAAAAGACAGCAGGAAAAAGATGAGAAAGCTAAATTAAGACAGGAAAAGGAAGAACAGAAGAAAAAGGAAAGGGAAGAGAAAGAAGAGGCAAAGAAAAAGGAGAAGGAAGAGAAAGAAGAGCAAAAAAAAAAAGAAAAAGAAGAAAAGGAAAAACAAAAAGAATTGGAACGAAGTAAGTAAAATTAATGAGTTTTCCTTTTTAAATATAGAAACTACATAAGTAGTAGTAGTAGTTTATATATGCTAGCGACCCGCCCCGGCTTCGCACGGGTGCAATGCTGATACTAAATATACCTACCTACTACAGAATGTCCTTATAAACAATGTTTACAGCTTTTTTGTCATTATCCAATGCAAACATGTTTTGTTTAGCGTTGCGTAGTTTTAAAGATTTAAGCATACATAGGGATGGACAGGAAGCGATAGCGTATTAGTATGTAGTGATTTCCATACAAATAATTGAATTCATCCATATTATTTTAGAGTTGAAGGAAGAAAAAGATGACCAAAAACGTAAAGAAAAAGAAGAAAAGGAAGAACGAAGAAGAAAGGAAAAAGAAGCCAAGGAGGAAGAGAAACGAAAGAAACAGGAAGCCTTGGAATTAGAGAAACAAGAACAAGAGTTAAAAAAAAGAAAGACAGCAGAGGCCTTTGTTAATTTCTTTGTTCCTAAACAGAAAGTAGAGAAAGATCAAACTGTTGATCCCATAAGTAAAAGTAGCATGCTTTCGAGTTTTACTAAAAAGGCTGACATGCGACTAGCTCCTATTGTTAGAACTTATTTAGATGATGATAAACGCCAAGAGTTAGACAATATTATGGAAACACAAAGTACGGCACAGATTGCACTGTATCTTAAAGAAATTAAAAATGGCATTTTAAAACCACTTTCAACTGGTAAAACTTGGCCTCTTGATGATAAAGATGATGATGTCATGATAATTGGTAAGTAACGGTTTTTCAGCTTCTTTCTAGTGGACTTTTATAATCAACATACATGTGAAAATATAAGTACAATTTATGTCTTTTCCTGCATTAAATTGCCTACTTTTTACATAACAAAAATATTCACCTATTTTAAAATTCTTAAGAAAATTTTATTACCTTACTTTATTATTACTTATCATAACGAATGTGGGATATATTCTCTTCCTTTATGGTTCTTATCAAGATGTTCATAATAGCTATTTTAACCATTTCACTTTATTTTGTAGAAGATGAGTTGCCATCTCTTGGTGGTACTGGAGAAGTTATTACATGTGACAATGCTGTACGGGAGAAACTTCGTCCTAAACTGCTAAGCTTCCATGAGAACAGACGCCCACCATACTGGGGCACATGGAGGAAGAAGAGCACATCTGTTAAACCTAGAAGACCTTTTGGGCAAGATCAGGTAATAGCTATTGCAATTCAAATTGGTTTGTCTAAATATAATCTCTTACAGTGAACTTATTTTCAATAACATGCTGAACATCAACTGCATCTACCGTTTGTTGATCATAAGAACAAGAAATTTTAATATATAATGCATGCTTAGTAAAGTTTATAGTAAATGCAATAAGTCTCTTTTAATACTAAATCTATTAGTATATGTTGTTCTATTTATGGTATTGGTTCTAGAGAGTCATTACGTCCATGCTTTAAAGAATCAAATATCCTCATTGTTGCCTCACAGTACATTTATGAAAGTATTATGTATACCAGGAAAAACTTAGATAGTTTCAAGAAACTTAAAGACTGTACAAGTAGAAACTTACGCAATAAAAATAAGCTAATTTTACCTAAATGCCGTCTACACAAAGTTAGTAATTCATTTTATGGTAATTGCGTAAGATTATATAATAAACTGCCAGAATCTACGCTAAATCTGACAGAGAGGCAATTCAAACTTTATATTAAACAAATGTTATGTATAAAAGCCTATTATAGGATAGATGAATTTATAGATGATAGCAATATATAGCAAGTATAAGTTTATTTGCGGACAATGTTATAATTTATTTTTCTTACTGCTTTCTTGATATATGATAGCGTAGCGGCTTTTGTATTGATCGCCGCATGTATCCTCATGTAAAGTGCGAATACTGTAACTACCATATAGTAATTTTTGTAGCTGTGATGTGGTCGAGTGGAAGGAGTAGTCATGCTCACTAAAATGTCCAGACATGTGGCGGCGTGGTGGGCCGGGTCATTGGGCTCCCTAAAATATGGTCGAGCGCTGTGATGGCTGGCTCATCCGTCATACTCGTGAACGAGTGCTGCTTGTAGGGACTGGTCTGCTCTTATCACTAGACTGATTTAATCTTATTGTATTTTTATATTTGAGCCTAAATAAATTAGTGCTGGTTGGTAGTTTGTATTCACACGTTTCGACTTGTAAAATGTGAACTTACAAGGATTGTTTAAAACAGCAACACACAAGTTTCTTGCTTATTCTTCTTGTGATGAGACAGCTTTCCGAATAAGCGGTAGATTTAAAAAAATGTTGACTATTCGAAAGTGCTTAAATTAAGTTTAGGGGCTGTTCAAGTATTACGTAAGCAGATTTATCACAATTATTTACCCCCCATCCCCCGTTGTCAGCAAAAGTAAGCAAAGCTCTTACCCCCTCCACCCATGCTTACGTAAACATCTCTCAATTAATGTATTTTTTTTTTAGCAAAGACAATGTGAGGGTTGCCATTCGTGTAAAAAAGTAAATTACGACCGATGACGTAATCATCATACAGACTCCCCCACCCCCATGTCATCCAAAATAAGCAAAGAAAAACCCCCCCGCCCCCCTATAGTGCTTACGTAATACTTGAACGTAATTCCCCTTATTTGAATAAATGATTTTCTATTCTATTCTATTCTATGTTTTTCACAATGCTCAATATAAAATCCATTACTTTAAAGAAACATTGTAGCTATGTGTAAGTGCTAAAGTATATATAAAATAATTATTGCAGAAACAATTGGACTATGATGTGGACAGTGACGAGGAATGGGAAGAAGAACAAGAAGGCGAAAGCATCGATGGTAGCGCTGCCGGCAGCGATGATGAACAAGATGCCGATGAGTATGAGGTGGACAATGAAGTTTTTGTGCCACATGGATATCTTAGTGATGAGGTATGGTATACACTCATGTTCTGTCTATCTTAATGTATGTAATACTTCTGTAAATGTAAAGAAAGAAATGATTCTATGTGAATCATGCTGCTCATTATTAGTAACATCATTATAAAAAAGAGAGAGTCAGCACCACAGAAAATATTAATCATAATAATAAATATAATAATATCAATGATAAAAACAAAATGCTGTCATTTTGTAAATATAATACAAACAACATAGAATAAAAACTATACAATTTAAAAACTTAGCATAAATTACAAAATAAAATACAGACCCATTATTATACATTTATTAGGGTTTTACAAATATATGTCTTGTTACATAACTCTTCTAAAATGCTTCGATGAGGGTGACATTTGTTGATCCCGCTAGTCTATATGTAAATTTGTTGCATGACACTAATTGTATTTGTCTAGATTTCTTTTCATAGTCCTTTTCCTCACTCACATTTATAACTTTTTATCATAAAAGTGTTATATAGTATTTACAAATTTTTTATATTACTTTAATTAAGGTTCAATTCCATGTGAACACATTGACTGGTATCAACGAGTTTATAACCTCTTATGTATTGGCAGATATTTTTCTCTCTAGAGTTCAATGTCTTCACATTTCTTACCATATTTATGATTTAAAAAATAGAGAAGTTTGAAATGTGAAGATTTGACTTATATCACACAGAGAAAACAGAGTTATGAACAATATGTTCCATTTGTTCTAAAAAATGAAACAGAAAAGCTTTAAAGTACCAAGAGGAGTGCAATGTTCTTAGCAATGACTAATAACAAATGAACTCTTGAAAGCTAATTAGTTTTTAATATGTAATCTAGAGCAATATATATTATAATTGTTATCTTTTTCAGGAAGCCACAATGGATGAAGATGATGTATTGTCATTGTCTCCGGAAGCGCAACAAGCTAGACTGAAACATTTAGAGGATGAATTTGAGTCAGAAATGAAGAAACCAACAGAAAAATTAAAGCCAAGATTATATGGCTTATTATGGGAAACAAGTGATTGTGGAAAACCCGAACACTGTGTGGATGCTTTGTGGAATTACTTTGGGAAATTATCTATGATTATGAATGACCCAACACCGCTTTTGAAACCCTCAAATGAACCAGACGAATCTGAGAAGAAAAAAGTAAAAAAGAAGAAAGTACAGGAGCAAGAAAATCAAAGTCCAAAAAGTGATAAAAAGAAGAAGGAAAAAAAAGAAAAAGAAACGAAACCTAAAGGCGATATAAAGAAAAACACACCAGAAATTAAGAAAAATCAACCTGGTATAAATTCATTTTTAACAAAAATAAAATCTACCTAATAATTTTATCAGATTTTTATAAGTTATTTTATAAAATATGGTGCGAGTTTATTGTCTCATAAGTTTCTACTGACAATGTTATATATTACTACTATGATATATAAAAGTAGTAATATATTTATTTATACATATTACATTACCATTTCAAAAATTCCTTTGGTACCTACATATATAATACGTATATTTTTAATAGCCTCTTAATTATAACTCTGATTAAGAAGTATATTTATCCGCTTGTATAATGCATTTATTTCTATATACAGAACAATAAAAAGAACATGTATGTTGGATTGAGTTCTAGCAGTTCAATAAAATATATTTGGATATAGAGATAAGTATGCAATGCAATGCAAATGCAAAGTACGCATGGCAATGTGACAGTAATATTATTCTGTCTGACGCTGAATGTAGGTACATATGTATAACTTTACTATGAACAGAATGGACACTTTGTAACATCAAATAACAAAAAATTGATTGTTATTTCTAGATATTGTATGCCTAGAGCTTAGTTTCATCTAAGAAGGTCAACTATTCTATTCTTTCTATTTCACGGCACAAATCTTATTTCTGTGGGATATGTATGTATGCTTATTACTGTTTTAATTAAAATATTAAAGTTCCACAAAAACAAAATAATTTGTCATGTTATTTTAATAGATCTATAATATTGGTGTAAATATCAGATGTTTCTTTTCATAAGCTGAATTAGTTAGTATGATAAATAATAATTATTCATTAAATAGAATATTTTATAATTGTTCTTTTTTTTTTTTACTAATTTAAGAATAGTATATTTGTGGCTCGATTTTATATACACCTGCGGACTTCATAAATAAAACCCATATAGAACATTCGCTTATATAATAAGTATAATAAATAATATTGATAAGTGCAGAATTGTAAACAAATATAATTAGGAAAAATTATTTCAATATGACTTAAATCATTTTTAGAGGGAGAAGGTACTGAGCAATAAGAAAGGAACAGAGATGCTGATTAAAATATCAATTAACTGTCATATTTTGACGTATGATTTCAGAAAACAGATAGAATATTTTTAATAATCTGTGATGAAATGTCAATGTCAAATTGTCAAGAAAATCTATTCTATGGCTTTAATTTTATCAAGTTTCTGCTATACTTTTCTCGTCTGTGTTTATTGCTTTTTTGTCGTGTTTTTCTCTAAATCGCATTGAATTTTATTAGATTTCAGTACATATATTCACTAAATCTGTGTGTATTCACGTGAATGTAGTCGTTTACTCATCCGATTTTTATAAATGCCGTGACGAAAAAAAGATCAAGATGAGTAAGATGTCGAAGAATAAATTGAATCTGACCCTCCCACCAGGGTCCATCGACACGGCCCCGACAGTCACACCATCGAATATGACTCCACAGCTGAAATCTGCAACAGCTTCTGAGTAAGTAGATATTCTTTTCAAACAATAATATATTGTGTAACAGTATGGTAGTTAATACTATTATGAGTTACGTCTATAAATAATCAAAATGGATGTACTTCTAAAATAAGGAATATCCTATTTTTTTTCTCAACACAAGTGGGAAAGTAGAAATATTTTTAAATTTTGTAGCTTTTGTTTGTTCATCTTATCTCAAGGTTGCAAGGAATAAAATGCTGCAGTTATTAAAATCTATTGTAATCAGAATATGTTCTTTGAAAAAATTAAAGGGATAATTGGAAGAAATTATTTGAGTTCTCAGTAACCCACTGATTTATTAAATTGTATATGTTATTAATAGTTTAATTTCATATTCCCACTTAATTTTAAATAATGACAAATGTATTATTATTTAAAATTTCCTATTTGCTAAGATTTGTTTTTTTTTGTGTCAAATGGAGACAAATTCAAATTTTCAAATTCAAATTCAAAATATCTTTATTCATGTAGGTCTATTACAGACTCTTATGATATGTCAAATCTACCGTCAGTTCGGAATGATATCGAGATGAGAAGAACTGACAAGAAACTTTGACTTAATTTTTTCAAATAATAGTGGAACATGTTTATGATATATACAGTTATTAAAATTCAAATTTGGGAGAATAGAGTGACCACCAGCATATGCTATCGCAAAGAACAAAAAATTTCATCAGTGTTCACAATATATACAGACCAGTCCCCACAAGCAGCACCCGTTCACGAGTATGACGTATGAGCCAGCCATCATTGTACTCAACCATATTTGAGGGAGCACATCGAGTCAGAAATGAAGCTCACCACGCCGCCACAAGTTTGAACTTTATAGCGAGCATGACTGTTTCAGGTTACTCCACTACGTCAATTATATTATTTACAGCATAGGCTGTACCGATCACAGTTTTCACCCATTACAAAATTTACATTATTTAATTTACAATATGTCATTACAAAATTTATAATAAGTTTCTTTATTGTTATTACATTATCCATGTCAATGGGAAAAATTATAAAACATAACAAAAGTTAAAATTGTAATTAAGTCCACACATTGTAGTCATTTAAGTAGTTTTTAAGTTATTTTATAATAATTTAGAGCAAAGTTTTTTTTTACATGTATCTTAAATTTATATATTCACTATATATATAAAACACTATCTGGCAATTTATTATAAAAACGTATACAATGTCCCATAAAGATGTACTTATTTTTTTTGAACGATAACTAGGCATATTTAATTTATTTTTATTCCTTGTATTAAAAGCGTGTAAGTGACTATTTTTTGGAAATAAATTTAAGTTTTTGAGTACATACATAATATTTTCATATATATATTGAGAGGGAACAGTAAGAATACCTGTTTCTTTAAAGCGTTCTCTAAGAGATTCGCGACATATGTAAATTATATATTGAACGAATTGCTCTTTTTTGTAATATAAAAATTGATTCTACATCAGCCTAGAGCTTCTTCCCCACAATATAATACCATACGACATTATACTATGGAAGTAACTAAAATACACTAGTTTCGCTGTTGCAGTATCAGTCAATTGTCTAATTTTTCTGATACAAAAACAAAATAATTTTAGTCTTTAGGCTAGTGTGAATATATGTGGTCCCTACTGCAATTTATTATCTATTACAATACCAAAAAAAGAAATCTCATCAACAAAGTCCAAATGATTCAAACTAACAGTTGTCGTTACTTGTTTTACATTTGGTAAAGAGAATTTAACACATTTTGTTTTCATTGAATTAAGCGCTAGATTATTTGATGTAAACCAGTTTAGAACATCCTCAAGAGCAATATTTATATTATTAAAATCCTTTGTATTTCTTTTCACTTTGAAAATAAGTGATGTGTCATCAGCAAACAAAACTATGTCAAGTATGTTTTGAAACTGGTATGGTAAGTCATTTATATAAACAAGAAAAAGAAATGGGCCAAGTATAGAACCCTGGGGTACACCCATTTTTATAAATGACCCCTTGGACTTGCTTCCTTTAATGTCTACCACTTGAATTCTATCGCGCAAATATGATCCAATGAGTTCTGTGTTTTCTCTAATTCCATAATGCTCTAGTTTGCGTAATAATATCCTATGGTCAACGCAATCAAACGCTTTAGAGAGATCACAGAAGACACCAATGGCATCCTGTGAATCTTCCCAGGCACCGAAAATACTTTGTATTAAGTTAATGCCTGCATCAGTAGTAGACCGTCCACTCATAAATATTGCTGTTTATGAAATAAATCATGTGTATTAAAATGAGCTAACATTTGTGTAAGTAGTATCTTTTCAAAAATCTTACTAAATACTGGTAAAATTGAGATAGGTCTAAAATTTGATATATTGTCTTTGTCACCAGATTTAAATAGCGGTATTATTTTACTCACTTTCATTAGATCTGGAAAAATACCTTGATCAATGCTCATTTTAATGCTTTACTCGCTTCTGTTGTACAAAAGGCTTCTGTGTGTCGGAGATGGAGTGGACAGGGTCAGGCTCATCACATACACTTTGTTCGATCAACTCGGCATATAATGTCATAGTCTTTTCTGCTTCTTGGAACAAATAAACAAATAGACAAACAAAAAAAAATTTATTTACTTATGAAATGCTGTATTGTCATCAGAATCATAGGTTATATTATATTTATATAGTCGCAAGATACAGCAATTCATATCAGTTAATTTGTTTGAATATTTGTAGATTAGTGATTTAAGAGACTCACTTTTTTTGTTTCTGTTCTTGCTACTTAGTATAATTTTTCATACATTTTAACTACATGTGAATCATTCGATTGTATTTACTAATCTGACTCATCAATAATATATATATGCTAGTAAAAAGTAAACTTTGATGCTACATAAAAAGAAATTATACCATCCTAATATTTTTGATGTACTGAAATTAGATAATTATGTATATTAAATTGTTTTTCTCCTGTGTTGTCATATGCTCTAATCTCAGGTTAGTCTGGTTGGTATTGAAATATTCTTTTAGTAGGAAGTCCATTTATTGAAGAAGGCACAAATGATATAACATTATGCTTCAAGAACTGGAAGCATAATCTAAATGAAAAATGCAATCAAAGTAGAGTGTGTCAATTTAAACCCTCACACAGTCACAACAGGTGTCTTGATTGCACAAACATGTTATTTTGTTTGAAAAAATGGTGGTAGTTGTTAGCTACTAGCTTTGTTATTAAGTGTAAATTAGGAATTGTAGATTGTTAAATCAAAGAGATGGTTTTCTGTATTAGGATTTTAGAAATACAATAATACCTATTTTTCTTCAACTAAACTTAATTGAATCACTTTTATAATAAATAGGCCCTTATATGAATGCAGGATCTTTTTAGACTATAGGAGACCCTTGGTGTAGTTTTAAATACTTTAAATATGGAATGACAATATAAATTATATTAGAATGTCATAGTTTGTGAAAACAAATTGCCTAAGAGTAAAAAATATTTATGGATGTCTAGCATTATTTTTTGTTTTTAGGCGGCAGGGCTTGGCTGGCAAATCTAAGACCAGCATTGAAGCACTGACAGAGAGGTTAGAGCAAATTGAGATGGATGACACCCAGAGACGCAGAATTGAGGTTTTCCTCTGCCAGAAAGAAAAGATTGGGGAACTCAGTGATGATGATTTTGAGAAGCTTGGTGAATTAGGTAAATGATTTTTCTAATTTTACTATAAATTTCCATAATATTACTTTCTACAAATAAACTAATAATACCTAGTGATTATAACTTATATTGCAGAAAATATTGAATGTTAGAGCCTTTGTGAGATAATTTAGCACCTTTTATTTAGATTCCAGTTACGAATTTTTTTGAATTTTATATCATGCTATATACCTGATATTACAGGACAAGAGGCATGGCATTTTAGTCTTCTGGAAAGGCAATGCATAGGTGGTATCTTATGCATTCCATGATATGTGATGTGCGTAGTGCTGTTCATGTGTATAGCATATATAGCACTTACCATAAGATGGTCATCAGCATTTTTGACATCACAATTACATATAAATTGAAAATTTAGATCTAGTAGAGTGGCCATTTGCTCCGAAAAGGATCTTATATGAAATACCGCTTGGTAGTAAATCCTAATTATTTTGTGTGAAATTTGACTTAAAATAAATGCAAGTTCTGCAAAGAATGGTAGTAAGTTACTCCTTATAACATTAGCTACCTACGGGTGTAGGTCCTGTCAAAATAGAGAGCGGTTCAGAGATTAATACTTAAGAACAAACAGACAGACAGTCAAAAAATTTAATATATATTTTTTAGATGTAAACTACAATATCAATTTTCTTACATATGCATTTAGTAAAAATGTATGTTTTTTATCAATTAATGGTATGGATCATATGCCAGCGCTAACGGTTTACGTTGGCGGGGCACCAGCGAAGGATGATAGGATGAACATGAAGTCAATTCAGTTAGTCATCATGGTAAATTCACCAGGAAAGTCCTGGTGAATTCATTCATACTCATATTACGATGGTTTCAAGGGGGGACAACGAGCAGGTTAACCTGACATGGTACATTGTTAGAAATGAGGCTAGTTTATTTGAAATTAGAAACACTTCAATTTTAATTGATTGTATAGATAGATATATCTATTATATAATATTGTATTTATATAGGTCAGGGTAATGGCGGTGTCGTAATGAAGGTCCGGCATAAGTCTACAGGATTAATAATGGCTAGAAAACTGATCCATCTAGAAGTGAAGCCAGCCATAAAGAAACAAATCATCAGAGAACTCAAAGTGCTTCATGAGTGCAATTTTGCTCACATAGTAGGCTTCTACGGCGCTTTTTATAGTGATGGAGAGATTTCGATTTGTATGGAGTACATGGATGGTGGCTCCCTGGACCTTATATTGAAGAAGGCAGGCAGGATTCCTGAATCAATTCTAGGTGAATATTACTTTTTTTCGTATGTAATTAAAAAAGGATATACTACTTTTATTTACAATATTTATAATTACTACTTCGAATTGGACTGACTATATCAGTCAGGTCTTTAATTGTGATTATACCGATGGCTTCGGTTTAGGTTCAAACGAGTTTTTTATATATTGAAATTGGTCGGAATTTGTGTTTACAAAGTTTGATAAAAAACAATTCTAGATTGATATTGAAATTTTGCTTCAGTAGAAAAATAATTATTGCTCCCACTGAAACGTTTATTTCACTTGCTTCAGGAACAATAACATCGGCGGTCCTAAAAGGGCTAAGTTACCTTCGTGACAAGCACGCAATTATGCACCGAGACGTGAAGCCGTCCAACATTCTCGTCAACAGTAACGGCGAGATCAAAATCTGTGACTTTGGTGTATCAGGCCAACTCATAGACTCAATGGCCAACTCATTTGTCGGCACTAGGAGTTACATGTCTGTAAGTATTTGTTAAATGAACAGTTTTATTGCTCTTTTAATATTGAAGAATTGGCAAAGGGAGAAGGAACTATTGATTTATTTCTACTATATTTATTCGAAATATAAAGTAGTGCTATTGTAAAAATTAAAGTTTAGAAGTAGTATGCAATGATGTAACGCAACCCGTAGTTCTATATAGTAAAACTTAACCATTAGGATGACCAGTAAAAGTTCAGAATATGGAGAATAATTAAATCAGAAAAGATACTGTTTCTCCATTAAGCAATATAGACATAGATAGTAAAAATAATAACTAATAAATATGTGTATATTATTTATTAATATATCAAAGTAATATTTAACATACAACTGTTATATATGTCTAGTTATTATTTATAGTATTCCTATATTTGTACCATTATAATTCAGTGAGTGAGTGATTTGTATATACTTACAAGCCATGATTAACGGTGGCGTGCTGAGCCAAGTCATTGGAGTCTTGTAAGATGTGATTGAACGCATTAACAGCTGTCTTATAGTCTTTTTTATAATAATCCTATGAAACAAGTGGTGATTACTACTTTCTATGTGGTGAACATTGAAAGTAGTAATCACTACTAAAGACAACATTACTAAACACACTGTAACATTATTTTACAGCCCGAACGCCTGCAAGGCACCCATTATTCGGTTCAGTCTGACATCTGGTCATTGGGTCTATCATTGGTTGAGATGGCGATTGGTATGTACCCCATCCCTCCGCCGGACGCTAAGACGTTGGCGGCGATATTTGGTGGGCAAAATGAAGATCATTCACCAGGGCAGGTTAGTTATAATTCTATATGTTAGGTGTATGTGTATTATAATTCCTTTTTAAATATTAATAACTAGTAAAATGTTAAAAGTATGTTATGAGTTTGCAAATTTAATTTGAATTATTTAAATGTAATCAAAATTGATATCAGTGATTTGACAGTAAAAACTAAAAAGCAGAGAGTGTTTTCACATGTGTAATGTTTTACTTCAGAATTTGATAAATAGAGCCAAGCCAACAATACTCGATCAAAAATTCATAAAGATTACTATACTAGTTACTATTGCCAGTCTTTGTATTTTGTAGCAACTAAGAATTTTATGTACAGTAAAGAAAATTATGGAATCTTACTATATTTTATTTATTATTATTGCATGACTATTAAAAAGGTATTTAATTGTATTAATCAGTCCCCAATATCAATGATGACAATGTATTTTTATTGTATATGATATACATTTATTTATTTATTTATATATTAACATTTACAGATATATATAGATTTACATTTACATATTTACTACAATACAATTTTTTATATATTTCTATTATCTGTAGTCCCCAAACTAGGTCAGTCCTATATCTTGAGGGCTGCATGGGGATACCAAAAATTGAACCAAAACATTGAAAATTAGAAACTATTTAGACAGGTGCCATTACTTCACTGTTAGTTTTAAGGAATGACAAATTTGTTACATGCCCAATGAAAGAGGATATTATGCATAATAATAATAACTGAAATTAAATTTTGTGTGTAGGCTCCAAACTCCCCACGCCCTATGGCTATATTCGAGCTCCTGGACTACATAGTCAACGAGCCTCCGCCGAAATTGCCATCCGGAATATTTTCGGACGAGTTCAAAGACTTCGTCGACCGTTGTCTAAAGAAGAATCCGGACGAGAGGGCGGACCTGAAAACGTTAATGGTGAGTAATAAATAATGAAAATCTTTCGATTGGTGCCAACATATTCATCGTCACTTCAATATTTCCTGTTACATTATACATTTTATAACTAGTTTAATGTATTATTTATAATCCCTCAAATAACTACAGACATACAATAAAATGTGTGCTTTTATTACTAACAAGGGTTAAGAAAACAACATGTTGTATGGGTAATTGGGTATACAAAAGAAGTGTTATTTTGGTGTATGTACCCTATTTATATTCATATGCATGTAGTAAAAAACTGTTATCTCAATATTACAAAAAGACAACCTAATTTACATATAAATTATGTATGGATGAAAACAAAACAGTCCATTTTATTCAGCCAGCATAACTGGTAGGATGTTAAGAAATCTTAATTTATCTATAAAATAAAGTTTAAAAACAAAAAATAAAATAAAATAATTTTACATATATGCAATCCTTACAAATTTTTACCATATATAACTTAAGTAACATTAGCAAAATAAATTGTTGTATCATTTCAGAACCACGAATGGATCCGCAAGGCGGACGCCGAGAAAGTGGACATAGCAGGCTGGGTGTGTAAAACTATGGACCTCATGCCTTCTACGCCAAATTCTAACGTGTCTCCTTTTTCTTCATAAGCTGCAAGAAGTGCATACTTTCATCAGCGAAAAAGGGTATGTCCACAAATTCACAAGTAACAAGTTACAAGTAAATGTTTTAATAATATGTATTTTCATTCGATTTGACAATGTAATGTATTTATACCTATGGTGCATGGTGCTTATTTATGCATCAATTACGATTCAGTAGATGTTAAATTTCAATGTAAAACCTAACTTACAAATAATTTGCAGGTCAAAACATATCCCAAGAGAGAACGGGCGACACAATAAGTGAGGACGCTGGCGCAGAGGAATAGAAGCCCTGACACCAAGCGATGACAGTTCACAGTATGTCAACTCTAGATACCATTGTCCAAACAGACAGGCGAACACAACTATTACATAACAACATTTAATGAGAGACGTGGTTTTACAATACTATCTTTGTTGCCACCGTCTAAGTTTTACGGTGTTATTTGTGATTAATTAGGAAAATTTTACAATAAAATTACTCGAGTAACGGAATACTATAAACATAGCATTGTAATAATTACATATGAAGAGAGTAAACGAATTTCTTATTTAATCACAAGTTTTATAAGCAACAAATATTAGTAATATGAATGTCATATTAATAATCACGTCTCATTGTTAATTGAAACTTATCAAATTGCAAAAACAATTAGCATTCTTTGGGAGATACCTGTCATCGAATAATGAAACTCAAATTTAATAATTTAATTTATAGAATTGGCTAAAATTAAGGTAAATTTTGTAGGGATTATTGAAAACAATGTGTTACGCTACACTTTGATATCGATTTTAACGCTGTTCAGTGCGATAATCATTACAATTACATTGATAGTCACAATAGCACATCGCGAGCTAAACTTAGCTGACAGAACGCGTAATAATAGAAAGCAATAGTCAAATTACACGTAAGTGATCGATCATTGAGTAACATCGACACTTGTTGTGACAAATATTGCGTACAAGTAATTCATAGTCAGTTACATGTAATTCTATTGTCTATGTGCTATATCATAGGTGCATTGTGACTATTATGCAATTTGGCTATCGTACAATGGAAGTGCTTCGAACTTTCCTTCTCATATACAGGCTATATGAATACGTGAAAGTTGTGGATTGTGAGTAACCGATACCAAGGTGTCTGAAGATAGATAGGGGTATAATACTAAAACATAGTGCATTCGTGGACGAACTAATCGAGGTTTTTATAACGAATAAAAAACAACTAATCGATTAATGGTCAAGTAGAGTTGATTTCACTAGTCGCAAGTCGAAAAAAATGTTAGTAGTGTTTTGACATATTTTTCTTTGCTGAAAGTGCGTAATTCATGTCAGCTGGTACTTGGTATTTGAATATTTGGGCGTAATGCAGCCGAGCTGCATGCGTCCACAGCGCTGGAATACTCCAACGGCCGCGGCTCGCGGGCGTGAGAGCGTTCCAGAACTAGATCGAACATCTTTATAACATGTAAAATAGAATGCATTTTTTAGACGACAAAAAAGATAAAAAGTATAAAAAAACTAAAAACGTAGATATGTTTTACTATTTTGACGTGATGCACTTTTTACGTTTGGTTTGTTGTGTTAATCGCTTCGTTTTAGTAAGTCCGCCTTTTTTTACCCTGTCCCGAGCACCTAGTGTAGATTGTTACCACGCGAGGCCGCTTGTTGCTTCGATGTGTTTACGCTGTGACGTGTCACAGATCTCTCGCGATTTCATTACTATATTTATGTTTTATAATTACTAGTAAATCGAAACCGGAGCTTCCATAACGCGGCGTTACCATTGTTTTAATTATTTTACCTGCCCTTATGATCTCTACTTGTTAGTAGGCGTATAAATATGTTACTAAATCTTTATTCCTTAAAAAAGTTTTACGCCCTCTACAGATATGCGAAGAGATGTTTTATTAGCTCCTGCATGAATAACATAGTTTCCCTTGAGCTTCGCTTTATAAATTTTATTTTGCCAGGTCTTCCTGTTAGAATGAGTTGTTTTGTTCACATTTTCACATATTTGTTATGATACCTCATTGTGTGAGGAGTGTTTTGCCTTTTTAATTGTGCATTTATATTTATATTATATCAAGATGGCTTGTGTTATTAAATAGGTATAATATTATTTAAAAGGTGCTTTTAAGTTGTTGCTAATTAAGTCGTACACACATATTAATTGTTTTTTCTGTAATAAATTAGAAAAAAGAACAAAAGTTATTTTTTTGTATATCAGTCTTCTCGTGTTTAGATAGGTGTTTAATTTAATTTTAAATATAATATTGTGTGTAATCATCGTGATAGATTTAAGTTAATTAATAGTGAATGTATTCCAAACATTTATTGATTAAGTCGAATTATAAAAGTCTGATATTTGGATACGATTTTGTTTAGTTTTGACGATCTTCTAGCTGGCGTCATCAAAATAAAGTAAACCGCAAGTATAAAAATATCGTAGCATTGTAATAAGGACTTTATTATTAGAATATTATGCTATTTTTATAATTTTTATATGTATTATACATTATATATCTATGCATTTACATCATTTTCATCATTTACATAATGAGGTTAGTATTTTAGCTAAAATTCGTTCGCATCTTCAAGATTACTCTAATATGATTTGGCATTGATTTTTTTTAAAGATATACTGATCTAACTATATTTGTAAGGTCAATTCGTTTAAATACATTCAGTATTGAATTTTTTGACATTGAATTTGGGTTGTCCACAAACCCCCGGGGGATTTTACTTATACAGATTTTTTTATATAGAGAGTTAAGTGGAGCATACTTTATTTTCTAATTTCATTACTTAAGGTATATTTTCATTGTATTTGTTACATTTTTTATTAATGAATTGCATATTTTTTATTATGCTTTTAATTTTGTTATGAGTAATGTGATATTATTTTTTTATTAAAATGTAATTTTGCATGATGACGGTTAAAGAAGATTCTATCTATACAGCGATTAAGCATCAATTTATCAATTAGGTTTCTTATTTCACTATAACTTGAAATATCTTTGATAAGAGTATATATGGTAATTGATGTTAAATTATTTTGAATGTGCTAAATGTTTTCTAGATATTTTGAAAATTGAAACCACATTGTTGTTACTATAAGTACGCCTATGTATTCGATCTTTGAACTAGTTACGTATTAGAAGAGGTTTTTTCATATTGACTTTATATATATTATAATAAATATTTATGATATTTGTATGATTAATATGTAAGATTTCTTAAACTTGAGCACACAGTTTGCTCTTGGCTATTTGGCTTATATGGATACCAATTATTTTGTGATGTATTTAATTATCTTTTTACTAATGAATTACGAGACTCTAATATCATATAGTATATGATGACTATAACATAGTATGGTATATATAACATTTTGTATAATTAATACAATTACTTCATTTAATAGCGGGTAGACATGTGCGATACATAGAATAGAAAAAAAACAATAGTCACAAATATGATACGAATATTATATCCTGTATAAAAAGATTTTTGTACTAATACTCCTCATATCTGTTCCTTTGAAATAATAGTATTAATAGATTACTAGATGTAATATTAATAAAATATTTAAAATTAATATGTATCTACATCATTAGTATGAATATGATTTCAAATGCTAAATCTATATAGTTTAACGTGTTCCCACATTTTTTTGTACCAATAGAATGTAATGTCATTTCCATATATTTTTTGTTTTGTATAAACGGTATAATGCATAATTATAGTCGTGTTAATTACTAGATGTATGTACTCGTACAGTGTCTATATAGAATATAAATATATATAGATATTTGCATCGTCGACGTATCAACGGAACAAAACACCAATTTAGCAAAAGTTGTTCAGGTCATATACGACGAAATGTGGTTTACTTTTATGTAAGGTTATTTAAACTTAATGCAGTTATAATACAGTCTTGTTTCATTTATAGGTATCTATTTTTAAAATTGTATAGATTAATGTTATATATTAGTCTGTATTGTTAAAATCACGTCCGATATCTTAGGCCAGGCACGCAATATGTTGATATGCTTTCAATCTTATATTTTGCGGGTAAACATTCCATGATGTTAATGTTTAGGTTGTGTGTAAGTGAAAATCACTATTTGAACTAAGGTTGTCGTGATTTTTCATTAAAATGTAAATTTATGTCAACCAAACAAATGACACAATGACATTTAGTAGTAATGAAAGGTCTAAAACAGCATTTGAGTAACGTATTTTTAATATAATTTATATATGTATATTACCTTACTTGAACACTTTTTGTAAAATTTACATCTTCAAATTATTAATATTTCTTAATTATATCTTTGTGATATTGTAATAAAAAATCTACTAGTATTTGTAAGCACAGCCAACAAGAGTTCATTATATTTTTTTAATTAGTTTAGGTCTGTGCTATTCTGATACTTGAATACCAGAATATATGCGTAACAGTTTAGTTTTATGAGGCTCGCTTGGTTTAAATAATCAATTTTCGACTTGGATTTAGAATTTAGACAGAAAATGCGTGCCCGGCCTGATGTTTAAGTTTCGCTTAACCAATATAAGTGTATTTATATAAATATAAAGTCGTATTATTTATAGTTAGTTTCTTTGTAGTTAGATATGTACAAATAAATGTTAATTAAATACTTTTGTGTTTTATTTTTAAATTAATCATAATAAAATTAGACGTTACATCCCACAGCGCTATGTAGTCCCAAGCTCAGCAGAGCTTGTGTTATGGGTACTAAACAACTGGTAGAAATAAATACATTTATAGGAATATAAAAAACTCAGACCAATACACATAAATATAAATTTTATATCATACGAGGTATACGAAACGGTGTGCTTTATTAGAATAGTTATCTTTTAATAAATTATAGTAATTAGAGCCCAGTCCCCATGACATGGTTTTCTTAGAAACTGGAATGCTACGTTAGATTCAAATATACCCAGCGAAATTGTCAACTTGTAAGTTGCGTCTATTACTCCATTTGGAATAACAGTCGTGATGGTAAATAAAATCTTTGGATAAATTGCATAATAACCAATGCAACACTTACCAATCCTTATTTGTTACGTTAACAGTACTAAACGTAGCATAAACAGTTTTACTAGAATAAATAAGAACGTTCTACGATAGCTCTTGAGACAAAGCACTTGCCACTGTAGATATTGTCAGACGCGACATTTTATAACATTACAAACAGTGTTGAAATGTTTAACATGCATTGTTCTGTAACGAGCGCAAACGGCGAGCTTCGTATAGTGCATAAAGCACTCCGTCGCTGGATAAACCTTTTAAATGTTCTTAAAATATTAAAATGAGTAAGATTTTCAGTTTTAAAAATAAATCCTATATTTTATTTTAGCAATGCTTATTAGGACAAAATAGTGCTGCCTAATCATTAAAATCGGCCTGGCAGCATAAGACATACATCACGACTTAGTATTGCTTCTTGACTGTTTCTATATCCTTTTCATGTAGGTAATTGATGCATTAATTAATTAGAAATCTGTATTTTTTAGTCCTTCATTAATAATGAAATGAAATATGTTAGAGATAAAAAATATGTAGGTACCTAACAGACCTCGTAATAGGTTCCTATAGATATCTATATATTTTTTTATCTTTGAGACTAATTTGACCGTGTAAATGTCAATTAGTTGTTACTGTTTTGAAATGCCTCCAATTTGGTCGGTGTAGTTAAATACAAATCATTTTTCCAACTCTAGTGATGTATTGCTGTACCCACGATATCGATTTCTTGAAATAACAAACTTTTAGGTTTAAACAAAACAAGGTTTATAATTTTTACATAGCTTCCATTAGTGTTTGCATTACTATAGATATTTGAATTAAACTACATCAGGATATATGGTTTTCGTGCATATAGAAGTTTAATACTACAAATTAACTATTTTATTTATTCAAATAGCAATTTTTTTTCAATAGATCTATATTTTATGAAATATAACATAACATAACGTCATTTAATTTATAATTAAAAAGAGTGTATTTTCATATAACAACTCTGTACCTATAGATATCTATCTTATTAATATAGTGTTAATGCGTTCTAAATAAATACCCACACATTATTTCTATGTAACATATAATAATAATCGATAATTAAAATGTGCGCATCTTTGTTAACAAACCAGGAAGCAGAACTCGTCATGAAGCCTATTCCAAGCTAAAACGCATGTTAAGTCTAATATTAGTGTTAGTCTAGTATTCCTATATTAATATAACTATTGTATGTCTATGAATGATAAGTAATGTAATTGCAATAAAATAAAGGTTTGAATCACGTCAACCAATTCATCAAGATTAGAACTCAGTTACAGGTACAGGTTTATTAACTATATATCTTCGTACGTGCTCGTCAATCTCCAGAAGACCTGGAAATAATTATTTAACAGGTATAAAAGTAATCTTTGCAATCAAGTTCTTTGTTTTTTACTAGGGACGGCCATAGAACCTAATTTAATAGTTCTAATTCTTTGTATTCTAATATTTTTTTAAGGTTTGATTTAATATGACATCTCTGTGGAAAACAGGGTTGTGTACATCTAATTTAATGATTCCGAAAATTGCGTTCAGTAAGTATTTGTTGAACCTTTGCCTTGTTACCTCAGCATGAGCGGCGATTTTTTTTTTCTATATTTGTGTGATAATGTTATCTATATATCCTTAACGAAGACCATTCATAAATTTATTTTTGTTTTTAGACATTATAATATTTTTATGAGACGGTCACCTTGGTAATTCATCCCCTTTTAGATATCAGAGGTAATTAGGTGGAGATAGACTGACCTTGTTTTAAATCTATTTGAATACTCTCCTCACCTTTGAGCTTGCGCTATAAGGCACGTGATTTGTAGAGCTGAGGCGCCCCCTAACGGTCGGACATTAAAATGAAATATGCGAAGTTGAATCGTAAGAGGTTAGAGGGTGAGAGTTCTTGTTCCTCATTATAAATGTGCGTAAATATTGTTTCTACGTAGAGCCTTTTGTCTGGCCTCATTAAGAACCCATTATGAGTTTGGGTTTAATCCCCCGCTGCGACTTTTACCAAAATGTTTAAGAAAAAAATGTTTTCAAACGTGTTTTGGGATTTTTTCTCCATAAATAAGTATTAGCGATGAGATTGGGATCCACGGATCATTTGTTACAAGTTTAATTATCTTCTGTAATTTAGATTTTTCGTCTGTTGTGTGCTGTCTGTTTTTAAACATTTGTTCACAGCCTTTCCTTCTTTTATTGGTATTTTTTAAGGAAATAAAAATGTATTGTCATCTTTGCAAGCAGCTTCTGTAACCAAATTAATAAATTTGTATATTAATATGACATAACTAAAAGAGAAGTGATCCTGTCCAGTAGCGTCCCTTGAGAGAGACCTATATCCTGGAGTAGACAGCATTAGGTTGATAATGATGCTTACTATATCTGGAATATAATAGACCGGTAATCGGCAATTAATAATGGAAATTAAATGTCAATTTGTTATACAAGTTATATTCCTTTGATGTACCTAACTGTTTAATTTAATGGTGTAT